CCGTTTTTTTTTTTTGTGCTTCCCCCCAGTTATTTGCCAACTCTTTTTATACCCTAAGTGGGGTACAAGGGGCTTGCTAAGGTCAGAATAAACCAAATAATATTTTAATAATTAATTTAATATATTTTATACATCATAAAATGCTCATATTCAATGTAGAAAACTCTTTAGATATACTCTACACAATCTAAAAAGGGTATCTACAGCTGCGCATATGTATATATGTTTTTTTTTTGTGCAGATAATTTAGACAGCGAAAGTAATCGAGTTGGTTTAGAGCCTCCGACAGATGGATTGGCGGTGGAAATTTAAATGAACTTGAGTTGGCCAGAAGTTGCGGGTAGGCCAAGAGCAGAGGGAGGCTCATTTTCCCCTCCCCCCCTTTGGCAGCACTAAGACTTCACTTGGAAGGCAACGCACTCCGTTTCCATTGCCATTTCCATACCATTCAAAACCAGGCAGCTGTTGCCAATGGCCGTCAGGAATCGAAGAAGAAGTCATTGCCGTTAGCCCTTGCACTTATTAAGCCTATTTTCCAAGGGCTAAAACCAATTGGCTTGCCAAAGTTGTGAAATGGGAATTTTGTTTCTCAAGTTACAAGCTGCAAATTAAGAAAAGAATCGAGCAAGGAGTAACTATCAAGAGTCTATAAGTATTTTTGTAAACAAACTTTAAATATACTTTAAGGTTTATTTTATACTCTTTTCTGTGGGCTTAGCCTTTGGCTTATTTACTTTTGGCATTTAGCAGCTGTGCCTTTATTTTATTTAATTTTTTTTGTCTTCCCTTTGAACGATAATTACATGTCGTCTTAGGCCCACTGGGGGGGCTGGTGGTGGTGCTGGAAAATTGGTGAAAAGGCGGGGAAAGTGACTGGCAAAGTGTTAGTTACATTCTGGCCCCAGCACGTAATTTGCTGATTTTGAATTTCGCCCCGTCGACGACGACAACGACAACGACGATGGCGGCAAATGAAATGCTCCTTTTTCTGCATTTTAATGCGCCCCCAGACTGACAGCCAGGGGCGTGGCTAGAGGGGCATGTAACTCCAACTCGATCTCCTTGACTTTGCATTTCATTATATTTTTATTTCACTTTATTTGTTGTTGTTTTTTAATATTTTTTTTTTTGGGAACTGAAAACTATTTGTTGCTGCCGCCGCTGTCAAGACCAGAGGCGGGGTGCCGAGTCTGTCTCCCCTTTTGTGGCCCCCTTTTTGGCTGGAACATATTTGCACTGTCTGGCAATTTTTAAGCAATTTCAGCATGACTTGGGTGGGACACTTTCCCCCCCTCCCCACCACTATCCTTGTCCGCCAGAAAATGCTGCATCCTGTTTAAATGTTTCCCCTTTCTTCTTTTTTAGGAAAACAAAATATAAAAAAAAATTTTAAATATAAAAAAGAAGCCGAAGTTTGTATACCCTTGCCAGAATCTTGACCTAGATACTTTCCTGTGGAGGAAATGGGAAAGATTAAGTTGAGCAGATGGCCAGTGAAACTTTTTACCCAGTTCTAGAGGTGGAAAATCATCGATTTTCAGAAAGATTTCGATGGTATTTCATCGATATATCGTTCATATACATCATTAATGTTATTGATTATGTTTTAATTTAATTTGTAAAGCGTCTTTGTGTTAGTTTTTATAAAGTTAATAATTTTGCTTGCTAAATTTTGACTTTTTGTATTTTTTTTGTGCCACTTTTTTACCAATTTTTAACCCTTAAAGAAATTTTGAAAATATGGCTAAATATTTTTTTAATTAATATGATTTTCACTGCGTTGCAAACTTCTTAGTAAACCTATAATACCCTGAAAGGGTATAAAAAGAGTATTAAGGGAAAATGAAAAGGAAAGGATGAGGGTGCAGGGTCGCATCGTTGAAATTAAAAATAAATTTCACAGTAAACACACATAAAACGAGACTGGGATTGGCTTAACTTCAAGTCGAGGCGGAAAGTGCCCTATAAAGATATACATATAAAATATATATCGATGTTTACCTACTGAACTTATATATTTAAATTTTTATTTTAGATTTCTAAACACAAAATTAAAGGTATTTTCTGCTTGTCCCTTCAAAGGAACTACCCCTTTTCGGACACATTTCCAGGGGAACTTGGCGCAGTGCAAATAAAAAATAAAAATAAATATAAAAGGCCGGACGTTCAGAAATAGTTCGAAGAGTCGACGGGGGACAGCCCTGGGGGAATAGCCTAAGGGAGGGGGCCAGGGGGTGACCATGGCAACGGACCCCGAGTCTCCTGGAGATTGGCGGTGTCTTCTGCCCTTGAATCGCGCAGAGAAGCGTGCCAAAGTACAGCTGTCCGGGAGATGTACTACAAAATCAGCCGGAGAGATGGAGCTAGAGTTGGAACGGATGTGGATGTGGGAATGGGGCTTTCGGGGAGTGTAACTTACACGTCTGAGTGCTTATATTTAGCAGCCTGGCAACAATGATGGAAAATGGAGGAGCCCAGGAAAATGGAGTTTTGGAAAACACGGAGGAAAGCGCCTGTCTGCATCTGCAGTTGCCATGGAGAGTTTTACCTCCCCCCCCCCACACCTTAATGAGCAGCCAAAACTGTCAACTAAATGAGCAGGGAAAACTGGCTGGGAAAAACTCGGGGGATGAAAGGCGGCCAGGCATTTTGATTTGATTTGATTTGATGTCAAGGAAATTGATTTTGTACTAAAAAGGGGGGTCCTAGTCCTAGCTAATCCTTTGGGTTAACATAAACTATCTCAGGAAAATGTTTCTGAATTATTTTGATAAGAAAAATGAACTCTGTTATCTGAATTTTGTTCTGAAAAATACTTAATATTAATTTATGATTTAAATTGTGAATGTATATTTCCAATCTCAAAGTTAATGCATTCCTATCGCCTGTGATATTTATGGGATCTGGCTGGTGTGATCTTTCTTATCGAGCTCAACGCGGCAGCAAGAACCCAAGGTTTCTGTTATTGTTCAGCGATTGTTTATAAACAATTTTGAAATATACATAGGCAAGTCAAGCCGTGTTTGAATCGGAGCCATAGCCAACTATATACACAGAAAGAAAATACTATTTTACTTTAATATATACCTAAATTCATTTTCCTTAAATTTGTTTATAAAACAAGTTTCCTTAATTTATATTTCTAATGTATTTAGTTTCTGCTTTCCTATAATATATTTTCTTTTCTCTGTCAATGTTTTTTTTTTCAGTGATCTTATTTTCTATATTTTTTTTGTTGGTAAATTTAGAGCAGAGTGCACTGATATTCCCATACGGCGACCATAAATTACACGACAATTACATAGAAACGAATGCCGAATCTAGGGAAATGTTGGAAAAATCGGCAGAGCTGGAAAATCTCCCCCGTGAATGGAAAATGGAAAAGAAAAATAGAAAGAGGCGCGAAGAGTGTTGAAGAAGTAGTAAGCGGAAAATCGGAGGGAGCACTTCATCACCCCCGCCCCAACCCCTGGCATTTTCCCTACGGAGCCAGAGTCGATACTCCCCGTCCCTTGAATTTTCCGGCGTCGCCGCCCTCACACGCGTAGTTTAAATTGCGCTACCCATAAATTTCCCCCCTACTCCCGTATGTAGTTTATTTTTGGTGTCTTCCGTGCCGAAATCTTCCCATCTTGCAGTACGTTTTCCACGCAGTAACTGCGTATCTATATCGTGGCGATCGGTGTTTGTATATCGGGCTCAATTACGGCCCATCGTGCAGCGATTGATTAGCAAGTCTCACTCGAGAGAGAGAATCTCCTACAAAGTCAGTACTATTTGTAGGAAAGGATAAGGCAGAGACGAGGCAGCTTTCTTCTTAATTTAAATATATATTTTATGGCTTTTTCTTGTGGTTCCCATGGGACTCCCCCAGCAGTTTGTCAAATCAAAGTTTTGCCTAAATTGGCCTTCAAACGCCATATGTTGCTGTTTGCAAATCTTTTGGCATTCCACGGTCTTTTGGGGTCAGGCCCGAAGAGTCCTGGCCTGAAGAGCCGGAAGACTGAAGAATTGCGGCTGTGGAGAAAAGTGTAGCGACGGCGAACAGCTGCCACTCTGACAGCATTGACCTCTTAGCGGCCAATTCTCGAGATTTATCTTAATTTTTAGACACCGAAAGAAATTTAGTTTTAAATGGAGGTTATTTAAGCTTTTTAATATTAATTTATCACCTCAAAATATTTATTTATTTGGCATTTGTTTGATTTAAAGTATAAATTTTAATTTCAAATTATAGAAATACTAATAAAAAATACTTTCTTCTATTTTTAATATAAAATAATCATTTAATAGCTTAAATATATTTATTAAGTGTTGTTTTTCTTTAAATAAACTATTATTTTCAGTGTTTAAATTTTTTTTTTAGCCTGTCGGTGGTCCACACTTTCGGCGGAAGGTGGCGCTGCTAACAGCAAATCAGTTGGCAATTAAGGTGAGCCGACAGCAGATGGCAGGGAAATGCTCATCCTGGGGCAAGGGGGCTCCGTTTGGAGGAAGCCGGCGGAAACCCCAATTTAAAATACTCAACAGCCTCGAAATACAGAGAGAAAAATAGTGGCAAATCCCTGATATTGCAGGTAGTATCTATGTATCTTCTTATTTACTTTTTCAGCAGATACTTCTTGCACTCGAAGCTCTCTATTATTAAGTCAATATTTTCATACATAGAAATTTCCATAAAACCTACGTTTATTGAAATAATATTCATTTAATTTAAATGTAAACACTAATATATGTAAAACATATATTTAAAATGTAATTTAAATTTAAAATCAAATTTATATAAAATTTTTCTCTCCCTTCTTCCCCTCTAAAAAGAAACAAAGATGACATATAAATTCTTAACAGAAGGAATTCCGGTCCTCTGTTAACCCTGTTGCTCTCTGTTAACCCTCAACAGAGCCTGGCAACCGCTTTGAACACGTTCGAGGCGCTTTGTTTTGTTCGATTGCGACCGGCGGGCCAAGGCAGGCGCAGATCTGCGGCTCGAACGAGTCGGGAAAGTCGACATTCAGTTGTGAAACGTGAAATACTTCTTCAGTCTGTTCAGTTTTGAATTGGTAGCGGCAGCGATACGACGTCTGTGCAGAGATATAGCCACTGGGGCCGTGAAACGTGCAACAAATACTCGTAGTTCTGAGGCGCCGTGCGAAGTATCTTCAACCAAGACTCGCGGATGCATCGAATAACGATGACAAATCTCTCGGTGAAGACTCTCCAAACGGGAAATTAAATGGAAAATTAAATACAAAAAGGATAAAAAGGTTTAACCGCAATTTGAGTTGCCCTTCTTTTTTTTTCTGTTGTTTTGTGCAAAACGATAAAAACAAACAAAAAAAAAAAATTTACTTTTGGTGTGGATTACCAGTGCTGAAAATGGATTAAACAAGGCCAACAACAACAAAATATATTTAAAAAAAAAACAAAACCAAACCAAACCCAATAGAATAACAACAAATAAAATAACCACAACATGTTGATGGATTAGTGCCTGTGAATGTTAGTTTAAATAACAGCTAAATAAATACAAAACATACATTTGGCCAGGAAATCAAATATTCCTAAATTGTGAGTACCAAAAAAGTGTTGCAAGTAATAATATTTTTATTTTTTTTTGTTGTGTGTTAAATAAATAAATATAAATTAGCCACAAAAAACTAAAAAAAAAAAAAAAAGTGCAGCTACAACAGCTGCTCCCCTACTTTGACCTTTTCGTTTGATTTTGTTTATAAAATCCCGACTTATTGGCCCCCCAAAAGTTTTGCTTTGAAGTTGGCTCACTTTTTAGTCACTTTGACATTTCGCTCACTTGTGCTGGCGTAAGTGTTAGTATCTGTGTTTTGCCGAGGGAAAAATGTATCTAAAAGTGGGAAAAATAAAAACAAGGAGTGCTTAAACCTAAAAAAAAAAATTACACAAATTTTAAAAATGATTTCTAACTAAAAAAATATACAATTTAAATATAAAATAATTTTTAAAATTTGTGTAATATTTTTTTAGGTTTTTTATTATTATTTAAATAGTTTTTGTATAGTTTTTTTGAAGAAATATAATCACTTTTTCCATCTTTCCTTTTTATGTGAATCCAAACTCTTGAGAGTTGAAAAAAAAACCCCTCTTCTTTGTGAACTTTATAGTCTTCACTTTCCTCTTTCTAAAAAAGATGGCCTTAAACCTTGGCCATCTAATTAGCTTCTTCTGACCATTCATTCCACCCAAAGCGGCTTAGACAAAACAAAAAAAAACTAAAAAAAATGCTCTGCTTAACTGATTCGATATTTTCTTTCGTTACTTTTGCATGATTTATGATTTACATTCAAGCCGAAAAACGAAGAGCTTAAACCAGATAATGATTGGTAAGAAATTAAAAAAAAAAAGATAAAATAAAGACAAGTTTACTTAACTAAAATAAACATAAATTAAGAAAACTTAAAAGAAAAAATTTATTAATTAAATATAAATGAAAAATTATTATTTTAATTATCTTATTACATTTTTAAAACAACATAGTTAAGCCAAAAAAGCTTGTCTGAAATTAGAAAATTAAACTAAAAATCTGTACATATTTTTCTTATGTTTTTTATTTAATTAAAATATTTTTCTCTGTGCACTCAAAAATTATTCTGCCTCCAGCTGTGAACTGAGCAAATGTAACTCAGAGCCTCAGTCTTAGTCTCAGCCTCAGTCTCAGCCTCAGCCTCAGTATTTAAGTCTAAGCTAAAGATCTGAGGAAGCTGCACTAAGACATTAACACACCTGGCATGCACAGATACTCACGCACACAGTTAAAGCCACACGCACCTGTCCCTTGTCATTAAAAAAAAAACAACAGAAAATAAAAGAAGCAAAGTTTCAATCTGGCGCTTCTTCCTTTCCAGCTAACCTTTTACTTATAAATCTTCTGGCTACCCAAAAGCACTGAAAAAAAAAGTGAAAGAAAGAGGTTTATTGAAATGAATTTGATTTAGAAATAAAATAAATCAAAAGACTTCAAACTTTAGTCAAATGTTGAATAAAATATTCTAGGAAATTTAGTTTCTTAAGCTTCTCTTTTAACTACTGTTATTCTCTACTTTTTCGAGCAGTATATATGCTCATGTGTGAGTTTTTTGAATTTTTATAATTTGGCCCAATTTGCTGGCATTGCAAATTGCTAAAAACGTCTCAAACAATCGACAGGCGGGGGTAAAACGGAAAAGGATGGGGCTTTGGCTCAGCAAAGAAAAAAGGGAGAGGGGCCTTTTTGGGGGCGTGGCAGGAAGTGCAACATGCTCATGTCATAGTACTTGTATTTTCGTTGTTGCCATATCGATTTGTTGGATCGTTTTGACGCGTCCTCGTCAGCATGTCGAAACTTATTTTTTTCTTTTCAATTTCGTCCTGTTTTGTTAGTTCTTTGCATGCCGCAAATTATGTTCGACGCCCCCTCAGCCCCCTAAAGACCCCCTTTAGCCAGCCAGTAGCACCGTTAACCCCCTTCTTCTGGGCAAAGGAGCAAGCTGTCAGGTTTTGACAGTTTCTGGCGTATCGTTGCCATTGATTTGACTCCACCTCGAACTCGTTTCGGTTATGGCAAGTTTTTTGGCTTAATGAGATACGTTTTTCTGCTATAAAAATGAAAGGTACAATAAATCATTACTTAATTTATAACTTTAATTAGTAATAATTATCCTAAAATCTAACAAAGAAATTCTTACTTAATGCTTACAAATTTCCCATCACAAAGACAGGGCCACAGAGCTGAGGGCATTCAAAAAGGCAAACAATTTATCCCTTGGTTAATTTGGTTAATTGAAGACAATTGAAAGCCGCTTTGCAGTTCATTAAGCCTCATCAGCGTTGGTCCCCAGCATCAACATCAGCTCCTAGCTCCAGCTTCATCTCCATCTCCGGAATGGAAAACGAAAACTCTCCGCCCATAGAGATGTGTCTTTTGTTGTCTCTTGTCGCCAGACTAATTAAAATATTTGCACTCAAATGCTTAAGCAATAAATATTTGTCAGGCCATCATCATTAGGAGGGGGGTGGTGCCGAGGGCTGGTGACCCACAAAAATAAAAAGAAAAAATATATAGCGAGCACTTTAACCAGAGAGGGGGGGTGGGGAGACTGGCTTGGAAAATGGAAATGGAAAATGAAAATCTATGAGAGGCGGCATTTTTAAAGTGCCTCCACTTTGGGCTGCATTTTTGATGAGCTTTAATGGCGCCGCCTTAATGCAAGTGCTACCCATGCACCACCCCCCCACAACCGCCCATCGAGAATGCCAATTAATAGTCATTGATGGGAAAAGTTGAGGCCAGAGTGCAGGCGGGGGGAGGAGAAACTGAAGTGTGCCGCCGCCGCCGCAGCTGAGTACAGGGAAAAATGCAAACGGGTAGAAAAGTCAAGGAAAAAGCTTCAGAAAATTGGTAAAAATTGTATCTCAGATTGGCCATGTGTGCGGATACAGAGAGAGAGAGAGAGAGAGAGGGAGTAAGAGTTGGATGTGGCCCAAGGAATTCGAATCTCGAATGGGGACAAACATCAAATTAGTCTAAAATCGAAGAGGGTGGCTTCGGGGTACCCAAATGGGCATAAAATTTCCCCATTGTCCGCACAATAGTTAGGGGGAAAAATGTATGCCATATGGCCCATATGGAATTGAGTTGTCCAGCGGGAAAAAAGGGGGATGTTGTCAGGAGAAGGCGGAAATTAAATTGTCAGCCATTTGAGGGTGGTTTAACATATCTTCTAGATACAACTGAAAACTGCTTTAATAATTAGTTAAAAAAAAATAAACAAAAACCAAGCTGATCTACAAAGATTTCCCTAACATTTTTATCAGCAATTGAACTCGACACGAGCTGGAGCTGGAAAAAGTAACAAGAAAAACGCTTAGAAATTGAGAGAACTTATGAAAATGTTTTACAATATCCTTTTCGTGTTATTACAAGTAGTATACGTCCTTGTCGCCCGCTTTGTCAGAATATCTGGCAACACTTTGCCGTACCCCCGTTCTTACCCATTTTCCCCCACATTTTCTCCGCATTTTCCCCCGCTAAGCTTGTTCTTATTTTGCCGCTTGGTGTTGGAACATCTTCACTCCTTTGGGGCGTCGTCAAGTTCGCGCTGCGTTTGAATATGTCATTACTCGTTTGGCCCCCGCACTTCGCCCCCCGGCCTTTAGCCATGAGTTTCCATGGCGCTTTTCCTCTCTCTTCATCCCGATTTTTCCCCCTTTTTTTCCGGCGACAGCAGCAGCAGCAGCAGTAGCAACAATGTCGACTACCGCCGCCTTCTTGTGAGTGGGCGAGTTTCCTTTTCTTGGCCTGTCTGACGGAAGTGACAGTTGAACATTCATTCATTCACATTCGCATTCGCATTCACATTCATTCAGAAAACCACCCGCGGAAGGGGAAAAATCAAGCCAGCGAACAGGAACCATAAAGGAAAAGCTTGACAGTGGCAAAAAAAAAAAAAAGAAAATATGCAAGAACCTGCGAAATTTCTATGGCGATTTGGCCAACATCGTGGAAAATATCCAGAGATGCCTGCGTGATTTCAGTTTATGAAAAATCTACTTGAAACACTTGCTTGTAAATTTTATAAATTAGTATTTCAAGGGTTTCAGACTTGACTGCAAGCTGCAGCTTCTTCCTTTTCCTGGCTGCACTAACTGGGTTTTGTGGCTACTTAATTAAACAATTAGAGAAATCTCCTGGTGGACTGAACCCACTCACGTTCGCAGCTCAAGGCCAAGGGTAGCACTAACCACGTGTTCCCGGGCTCTCCTTTTGGGCGGAAACACAACGCAATGACTGAACGGAAGTTTTTTGGGAAGCGCATAAAATTATTATGGAGTCGTCTTTGCCGCATCTATGTATCCGTATCTGCTGGATATATGTATATATGTATCTCTTCGAGAACGTGGCGCGTCAATTGAGAGTTGGAGCTCCGGGGTCCGGGGACCAGCCACCACTACATAGTCCTGACGCAGTCAGCTTTTTATGGCCCAACGGACTCGTGTCCTTCCTGTCTCAACCTTTGCACAGTATTCACTTTAGTTTTTGGCTTAGTTCCTTTGGCCGCGCTATCTTGGCCAGAACCCCCTCAGGTCCCCCCGCCGCCCCTGTATTATTTTTATGCGCAAATTTAATATTTACATTTAGCCAAAGTGGATTTCGGGCTATCTTTGACTTTGCCCCGGCATTTTTATCAACTGACAACTTCTGACCGCAGAACGTTGTAGTATTTCTTCGCCCCCTCTCTCTCGGGCAGAGATGTATCTGCGAGATACGAGATACACAGGAACCAGGAACCAAGAACAAGAGCAAGAACAAGCCAAGGAGAAGCAGAAATAAAATGGCATTTAGATAAGCCCAAAAACTTTTGCCAACGCTTCGAGGTTGGAGGCCTTTCCAGGGGCACTGGCATATGAAATACTTGCGGTCAAATAATTCTCACGAGATGAAAATTCCAGAGCGATGATAGCCGGACACTCAACTTTATGCTTCCCAGCCAAACTTTGATATATATAAAATCGAATAAAGAATATTATTCTAGGAAGTACAAGTTCTATTTCAAATCAAAATGAAAGGCTTGCTACTTGACAAACTAAAAATGATTAAAGCTGCCACTCTTGAACATAAATTTTGGTCATAATTTGTAGTTCGAGGACTCGAAAGGATACTGATAAATAATTCATGGGGAGGGACAGGGGCCATGACTCATTATCCAACCCCTCGGGCAGCCTTTGTGTGTGCTCTAGTTTAAGTTTCGATTTTAGTTTTTATTATTTCCTCCACCGAAAAACTCGTGAATGGTAAATCGTGAATCGAAATGAATGGATATTCACCCTTCTCGCTCTATGAGTCATCTGGGTTAGGACACCCCCGCTGGGGCGGGCCGGGCCGGGGCGATTCGCTTCCTTTTCCTCCTTGAAATTAGCAGCTGACTTCGGTTTATGGCCAAACAGCTGACAAACGGGCTGAGGGGGTTGGTTTATAGTATGGTTTATTCAGTTTATTTGGTTTATGTGCCACCCACACCCCCACCCCACCCGATATTGCGTTTATTTATTCCCATTTTTTATCCACGCTGCTGAATTTGTAAAACATTTCCAAGTACACGAGCGACAAACAGGCAACCACTTAACGCTTGTTGCCACATTCAGCTCCGTTCCAGCTGTCCTGTCTGTGAGAGAGTCCTGAAAGCCCAGAGTCCTGGGTATTGGGTACTGGTTACTGGGTACTGCTTACTGGGTAGTGAGTTCTGAGTCCTGGAAATGCGTTCGAAAAAACCAAATCCCCTACCCCCCAACACACACCCAACACCAACGGTAGCAGCAAGCCCTCGTGGTGTAAGGTCCTTGAGGGAGTTTAAGACTATGAGATACCCTGCTTTACTTGGTATATATGTTTGTTTGTAACTAAAAGGCGGATTTTATTTTATTTATATAAATTTTATTTATAATAAAAATAAGATACTTCTTTTATATAGCAAAATTAAAAAATTTACTTAAAAGAAATCTTGTATAATATAAAAAATCCAAGAGATATATCCAATATAAGGTATACCCTTTGTAATCCTGGGCTACTGGGTATATAAAATATAAAAAAATACGGAGACAATCGCCTGATTCGGCTTTCGTGCCCACACACGTTTTGTACTTTTTATTCGTTTTTTCTTTTATTCCGCTGTTGTTGCTGTTGTATTTATTTGTATTGTATTGCATGTTTTGTCTGTGTTTGTGCTACACCCCCCTCGACTCCCCCTTTCCACGGAAAAAGGGAAAACCTTAGGCATGCAAGGAAATAATCGAGAGCACAGCCAAACGACGGAGCCTTCCATGAATCATGTCCGTTGCTTTATCAAACTGCAGGGCTGAAAAAAGGGGGTGGAATAGTGCAGGAAGGGGTAGGAGGGGATGGGGGGCACTCCAACTTATCTGTGGTTACATAGCCCACCCCCCCCAACCGCCACCCCCTTCTAATGCAGGCATCAATTTTTCAATTTGTTTGGCGTCCTCGCATGCCAACCCAAAATATTACAAATAAATTTGGTTTCATTCAGGGGGATTTATATGTTTATGTTTATATAAGAAGAAAAAATTAAACAATTTGAGCTGGTTTCATTTTGAAATTGTTGGTAAAAAAGGACTTTGGAAATGTTAAATAATAAAACAAGAATTTAAAAGAGGAAAGTTTGGGGGTCTTTTAGATTTTATTAGATTCTGAATGACTGGAAATATTAGATTATTAAATATGATTATTAAATCTTGTTTACTAAAAGTCTAAAGTCTTGTTTATATTTTATATATATTTTTTTATAGTAAAAGACTTCTCTCACCACTTGAACCCACTTTTATCATTAATAAATTGAAGCTCGGCAAGCCCTGGCAAATATTTTCTTGCAATAAATTTTCATTGCAACAATTACCAAAGATCATAATAGAAAATTAAGTAGAAAAGGACTGGCTCATGAGGCAGGTCCCTTTCGTTGCATAAAAACGTCGATTGCTGACTTTTTATGCGAAATATGCGTGATATCCTGCAAGTTTTTGTTTTTTTTTCTGGCAACTGTGGGCACCTAATGTCTAATAAACATTTTGTGCCCCATAAAAGAGCCATGAATGAAGCCGTCGCTGCCAAACACGGCCTGTGCGTGTTTATGGCCAAGATGAAGACGGCAGCGAAGACGTACAACATGGCCAACATTAGCCACAACAATTAATACGCACACACACACACATACAGGACGAAGGACGAAGGAATTGAATTAATAATCTTACTTACTTATGTTTTCCCCCCTCCTTTCCAGACACTGATCTTGGGGGACACTAGGAAACCCAGTGCGAAAGTGACCCGCGAGGCTTCTGATCTCTATTCCCCACTAAAGGCGGTGTTAAAGGTAAGCTGAATATATTTTTATAAAAAAAGATAGTAATTATAAACACTATTTATATGATTAAATATTATTTAAAGGAGTTTAAGTATTCATTAAAAAAAATATATATATATTAAGATGCTTTTAATAATTTATAAAGTATTATCTTTGAGACATAGAAAACCTATGTGCTTAAAGTTTAAACAATTTTTGTATATGGAGATGACTGACATTACACAATGACACTACCAAAACCCCCAAGTCGAGTCGAGACGCAACCTCAAAACGAGGCAAATAATAAAATAAAGTCAGAGAGTACAATGGCCAGCAGCAAACAAAAAGTACACAAGATACAATACAAAAAATAGGGCCCACGCCAGGCCAGGCCAAGCCCCCTTTGGCAGCGTGGCAACCCTGGTCGACAACCCATTCCCACATCTCAACACCCATTCTCCCCCCCCTTCGGCGTCCATAATAATTAGTTATAATCGGATTTAGTTAGACGCAAGCGACCGAAGGTGTCGCCAGTTGTATCTATCGGTTCTGCTGTCTATGTGTATCTTTTGGTGCCACACACGGATACTCAGATACTTGGGTAGCTTGCACTGAGAGAAAGGGTGTTTGGAATACTTTAATTTACATTTTAGGAATACTAATTTCAAGATTGATTTTTAAATAAATATATTTCTTCAGAGAGTTCGAAAAGTGGGTTGAAATCCTATCTGTAGTAGTAGTATCTAGTATCTTAGTATCTTAGTTACTTAGTTAGTAGTATCTCAGAATCTAAGTATCTTAGTACCTCAGTGTCTCAGTAGCTCAGTGTTTCAGTATCTAAGGATCTCAGTAGCTCAGTATCTGAGTATCTCAGTATCTGAGTATCTCAGTATTTCAATATCTCAGTGTTTCAATATCTTATTATCTCAATATCTCAATCTCAGTATTTCAATATCTCTGTATTTCAGTATCTCAGTATTTGCGTATCTGAGTATCTCAGTATCTCAGTGTCTCAATATCTCAATATCTCAATATCTCAATATCTGAATATCTCAATATCTTTGTATCTAAATATCTCAGTATCTCAATATCTCAGTATCTCAGTGTCACAGTATCTCAGTATTTCAATATCTCAGTATCTGAATATTTCAGTATCTCTATAACTCTGTATCTCAGTATCTCGATACCTCAGTATTTTAATATCTCAGTATTTCAATATCACTGTATCTCAGTGTCTCAATATCTCAATATCGCAATATCTCAGTATCTCAATATCTCAGTACCTCAGCATCCCAGCATTCCCTGTATCTCAGCATCGCTGCATCCATAGTGTCTACCTGCATCTGGATCTCTGCACCTTCCCGTTCCTGTCCATTATCATTGCTCTTTTCTAACATCTCTTGATGGCTTAAAAAAAAAAAACAGATAGAAAAGATGGTGAGGCAAGGAAAACCAGTATGGGAAAAGGTCTGCCGCTCTTATTTATTGAATTGATTTGTATTTGTGCAGAGTGTCTCTCTTTTTTTTCGGGGCGCTTTAAAATAGGTTTCCTCCGGCCGGGCTTTATTTTCGGCTCCCCTGCACTCGACTGCAGTGTCATGTGGTGGGGATATAACTCAATTAGCTGCACGGGGAGAAGGAAATGGGGATACTGATGGTCGGACAAAAGAATGAGCCCGAGATGAGGTAGCCCCGCCGGAGATTGTTTATTTTTTGTCGGTTTTTTGGGGGTCTTCGGTTTTCGGTTTTCGGGGTTTTTTATTTTCTTTCTTGGGTTTCGTTTTGGGGCTGGCTGGCACAGGTACACGTAGCAGTGACAGCTGTCAGGTGAGGGATCTACGGACAGGCAATTGTCGTTCGAGGTGGATGATAATTCGAAACGAAAACACTCTTGTCCCGCAGTGGAGGTGAGGTTTGCTCAATGAAACGTGGCATAGTGATTAGTTAGACAGTGGATGCAGTAAAATGCTAGTTAAAATTATCATGTGAGTGGATAAGACATGCCTTAGAAATATATTTAGCCGAGCAAGATTCAAAGTAAAACCCACTCCAACCCAAAAGTAACGTAGAGGAAACTTCTTACAAATAAATAAAATACTTGGAAAAATCTAAAATTTTAATTTAAAAAGGTTTTTTTTCAAAATGTAACCAAGGCAATTACCCAAAAAGTAATACAAGTACAAATCAAACCCCACGTAACTCGGCATCCAATGCCGTTTTTCGATCTGAAACTGCTCAAACCTATTGCTCTATCAACGACTATGGTTATAAAGAAGTCTCCAGGCATCTTTGAGAAATATCTGTGCTTACCATCTGACGCCTATCCGAGTGCCTTAGCCTGGTCAAGTGCGGCAACCAACAAAAAAAAAAAGGCCCAAAACACGCTTTCGAAATCATTTTTCACTCTTTGCCAATCGCCTAGCACTGGCAGTGGCTTTTCTTGTGGGTTTTCGGGGCTTGGATTGGGTTTTGGGCTTGGATCGATCTATGTCAAAGTGGCGACGACGACGACGACGACCACGGCCCACACGAAAAGCGGGTAGAAATAAAACGGAATGGATGGATGGAGATGAAATGGAAAAAATGTTGGTGTGTGGGCGAACTTGGACTTGGAATGGAACTCGAATGGAGCATAAAATATGTTAATAAGGCTTAAAGTTATACAAATCTCGGACTGACTCGGCTGGCTGGCCGTTGCCGATCGCTTGTAATACAAAACCATAAACATGAATTTAAAAAAAAAAAAAAAAAATGCTAAACGTAAAGTGGAGAAGCTTGGGGAGCCCAAGCCCCAAAACCCAAACCGATACCGAACCCAAAAAAATCAAGAAAGAAAGAAAAAAAAATATATAAAAGGCGACCACAGCCAGCAGCTGGCTCCCCTCGGCCTGTCATTGTTGCAGTGTCTTTTCTTGGCCTGGCTTAATTTCCTGCTGCTCGACTTCAACTTGTTTGCTTCTTCGCAGCGCAGCACAGCTTCTCCCCTTCCCCAAAAAAAATCAAAATAAAATAAAATAACCACCACACACACACACACACACACACATACACACTGGGAGTATACAAAAAGCAACCACGAAATCAGTTAAGTTCAGGTGTTCAATTTACTGATTGAAATTCTGCTTCGATGTGGCCAAGCAACTTTCATTCGCTACGCTCCATTCCCCCAAAAACCCATCTCCTACGTATATATAGTATCTCTTTCTTATGATTTTATTTGGAGTTTCGTCTGCTCTAGCGAGTTCGTCTCATAATTTTATGCCCGGCCATGTCGGGAGTTATGTTAGAATTATGCTAATGAGAGTCAGATCGATTCAAGATGCTTTAATTATACACGGTTAACAAGTTTTTCTTTTTTTGCTGTATTATCCGCTTGGAGCCTTTGGAGAATTGATGAATAACTTAACCCGTTCTCCGGGAGGTAGCTTGCAGTTGGTTATTATGTTAAAGCCCAACCAAGTCTATACCAGATTCGATTAATGTTATGAAATCTGAGCTGGCATCGATCTGTGGGTTTATTGATCCAAAATGGGGAGGGTTCTTGTTGTGAGATCTTCGTGGTGATTTCAGGCTGATTTTCAACACTGTATTGGGTATTCAGGAACTTCAGCTGGAACATTTGGGAATTAATCACAACTGAAAGGACCTCTTTTATAACATATCCTTCCTGAAAAGTCAGTCTATCAGCCCTTAAAACTGAAAATTGCCTTTGGTATCTCCAGCTCCGTGTGATAATTATCAGTGGTTCCTGTTTTTTTTTTGTTTTTTTTTTTGGGTCCTGTTAACTTTTGCTGACTTTGGCCAAAAAAGTTCCTTCTTGGGAGGCCCATTAATAGGCGATTTAAGTTTATTTTTTGCCCGTTGCCTTTTTATTGACACAAGGGGTCGCCTCCTGATCCTTGCAGCTCCGCTTTTGCCGCAGGACACACACATTTGTCTCCAAATCAGATATGGGGGAAAAGGAAGAGGAGAGCAAGAGAGAGAGAGGAAGAGATAGAGCATGATAGAGAGAGCGAGAGCGAGCTAGCTGGGCAAATTGAATCCCAGGCAATCGTCATTGTCGGCATCCCTCACATCCTTTTGGCTTTGACTTGGCCGGGGCCTTCTCCTTTTGCCACTTAGTCGTTGCCTTTTAGTTGATTTGTTCGAGCAAACAAATTGTCAACAGGATTGGGAAAGGGATGCGAGAGTTGGTAGAAGGGGAGCTGGAGCAGGAGCAAGAGCAAGAGCAGTAGCAGTAGCTGAAGCCTGCCATACGAACACATGCACAAATTGATTTTAATTGTTAAGCATCCCCTTTTTTAATTGTCCTAATCCTTGCTGAACTCTGGACCTCGACCAATATCCTTTATGCCTTTTCCGGTTCCCAGTTCTCCCCGAAGTCGGGTCCGGGTCCCAGTCCCAGTCACAGTCCCAGTCCCAGTCCCAGTCCCAGTCCCAGTCCCTGGCCCTATTTTTCGGAGCCCTCTTCTGCTTGTTGCCTTTTCCATTTTGTCAGCAAAAGTCCTTTAAGTAGCCTTCCTTTGGCCGAGCTTTTTGCTCGTTTCTGCCTTTCCTTTTGTTGTTGTTTTTTTTATTTAATTTTCCCCCCTTTTTTGTTGTTGTTGTTGGAAAGTGAAGTGAAGGGTTAACCGGTCCCTCAAGGCACTTGCATGTGAGACGAAGATAACAGGAGGGACGGTCGAGGTGCGACAGAGAGCGATTGAGGCATCCTCAAGTACAGTCGACACTTTAACTGACAGTTAAAGTTGAGTTTTCGGTTTGTTTGCCAAAGGATATGTGGCGTAGCCTGAAATCCAGGCTTATAATTTTAATATTATACAAGACATGGACTCAAAAACCTCGCAGAAACCCCCTTTTGAGCAGCGCGCCTCTGCCACATCTTAACCCCACGCTGCCAATCACTGGCAAGAAAAACATTTCCGCTGCGAACGCTTTCCGCTCCAGTTTTCAATTTTCGCAGCTCCCCGATACGGCCACAGATACAGATACAGATGCAGTAATTATTTTCAGGCGACGCTTATCACACATAAATCTCGGCCCGAACCGCCGCGCCATCCCATCCAATCGAGCACAATCGATACCAGGGGGGCCGGCCTTCCAAAAGGGGGAGATTGTTGCCTGTTTTGTCAGTCAGTCGGCAGTTGGTAGTTGGTAGTTGGGAGTTGCAAGTGGCCAGTGGCCAGTGGCCAGTGGCCAAGTGTCCAGTGTGGCAGCAACTTCCCCGGCCATCGGGCTTCCTTTCCGCAGCTGCTTTCCAGGCTGACCGCAAGACGCAGCTGCATTTATCCAGCAACCAGCAACCAGCAACCAGCATCCAGCATCCAGCATCCTTTAATGCCACAGCCCAAGCATCTGTTGTGATATTTATAGTTGCAACTGGAATCGGGGAACAGGTGCTACGGCATCAGGTTGTTGGTTGTGGGGCCCAAGAGGGGACTTTGATTTGGTAATATCAAAAATATTCAATATTGTGGGATTAGTACCTTAATTCCTTATTTTAGAATTAGAAATTTACTTAAATTTTCTTTAGTTTGTGCTCTGATTTAGGCACTAATTATTCCCCTTGGTGGCCAGTGTAAAAGCCAAGTGTAAACCAGTTTCCACGATCGCATTATTATCGCTCGTTCGCTTCGGTTATTAGATGCAAGCTGCAGCGGATGTGCGGCTTCCTTCTCTCGAGTGAAGTCGCTCCAACGGACTTGGACTTTTTTCATTTGCCTTGCAGCCCAGAGACCCCCTTTCGAGACGCCCCTGGAACCGGAGCTGCTGCTCCTTCTAAGCAATTCGGAGTGGCTCTCATAAATCAATAAAGAAAGGCCCACCTGGTACAAATAACTTTGAAAAATTTATATTGAACACTCGCCGGCAAAACTTTTTCGGGGCCAGGTGAGGCCAGGTTGCGGGGAGAGGTTACCTTAGTTTTCCCGGCCAGAAGTTGGAAGAAGAAGAGAAAGAGGAGCAGTGCTGGCAGCTGCTACTGTTAAGTCTTGGACACGGAAAACGTTCGGAGTGATTTGTATTGTTGGCCACTTGAACGGCACCCCACCCACCCACCATCCGCCCACACTTTTCCTCGAGCAGATTCTGGGGCAGTTTTCATGTATGACATGCCCTGGATATCGATATCGATATAGAGAGAGACAGGGACATGGGGAAAACCAATTAAAATGACAGAAAAAAAAGAAAAAAAAAATGGGAAGCAGGAGAAAGGGAATGAAGTATTGCGGAATGAAGACATCAAATCTGAAAGACAGATTTCTGGCGATATATAACGGTCAGTTGACTGGAAAATAAGCAAGAACTAAGGGTTTAATTATGAAGGAAAAATAATAATTAAACTTTATAATAAAAAGTAAGGTATATCCCAGCAGACAAAGAGCGGACTTGGTGCAGTTGAATCCGAAAAATGTCCGCAAAATATATTAAATACTTACAAAGAATCGGACTTTTCGCATTACTTACGCTAAATGCTCAAAAGCGAACGCGCAAACGGACGAATAGCGGACGAGTATCGCGTATTATCAGGATTATACCCGATAATGATGTCGTAAAAGATCCGCAATTGAAATCTTATTCGGACTCCGAAAATTATAGCATTTTCTGCCACAAAACCAATGACAGGTGATTGACTTTACTATCGTTTATGAGACTTATTCGCTTGAAACCCGCAAAACTATCGTCTTCAATATCATAAACGAACGTTTTTGTCTGCTGGGATGTTTTAAATATAAATTCAGAAAACAAGACTAAAATCAGGCATTTAAGAACGAATATTTCATAGTCCGGGTCATCTCTCTTTTCTATTTTTGTTGTATTTTTTTCTGTGTGTGCTTAAAAAACCGAAATCTTAAAACCGATGAAACCGAATCTTTATCGCCCATAAAGACCAGACTCTCTATGAGCGTGTCTAAAGTCGGTTTTAATTGGCTTAGCAAACGCAGCAGAAGAGCTGCCCTTCATCGGTTTCTCCCAGATTTTGAATTTCAGATTCATCTCCAATTTATATATATTTTTTTTCTTCTTTTTTGAGTAATTTTCTCATTTGGAACCCTTCCGATTTTCGAACGGAAGCTCGCTAATCTTTTGCCTCCGCTTGCATCTTTTTCGGGGTTTTCTCAGATTTTTTGTTTTGTCGGATTTCTCCTCTTGGATTATTTCATTTTCTGTTATAATTTCGTTTAATTTGTGCCTGCGTGTGAGTGAGGCGCCAATTTCCGTATAAAAGCAATAAAAACAAATAATAGCGACGAACTACAAGAAAACGAAATTAGACAGACGGAAGCGGACCACAAAAAAAAATATATATATATATAGGGGAAGGGGAGTAGAAGTTGAAAACCCTAAACCTAAACCCAAACCCAAACCCCACAGAATATACAGGAATAGTAAAATACTTGCCCAAGAGCCAGAGAAAAAAAATGCGTGAGAAAATTCCAAGGCAGCCGGGCACCTGCACAGTCAAAGACCTGGGGAAAATGTGGCTGGCTAGGTGGAAATGCCAGGAAAAGCGGAAAAGGGAGAGTGTAGCTAAGTACTTGAAGCGGCTTGATTGGTTCAGATTGTGCCTCATATATGCCAAAAGCAATTTATTAGGCAAAACCCAGACGAAGGGAGAGACTGTTGTTATTGGCAGTGTAATAAGTAATGAAGAGCAGACTTGGATTAGGAATAGAATTTATATAGTTTAATTACATAGAAAATTAAAAGAAGTATTATATAGTTTAAATAAATGAAATTAAAAGCATAAAAGTTCAAGAAACAGCCAAGTTTAATTTCCTTGAAGGGTTAAAACTTTTCTCTCTGCCATATTTAAATCCCTTTTCTTCCTTCGTATTCTATATAAATATACATATTTATATATATATCTACCCCCTTTTATGGTACGCCCTTTTGTCGTAAACTCCAGCTTAACTCTTTTTATTTTTGTAATATTTTTTTTCGAGGGGGGTTGGGCTCCAAACTCAACTCTTTTGCTTTGACTAATTTGAATGTAATTCGTTTTGGGGGCTCACGTACGAAGCACAGAGCTGTCTGCACTTGGAAAACATGAATTAAACCAAATAAAATGAAAATAAAAGAAACATTTCATATAAAAAAATACACGCGCGCCAACAGAAAACACACAGAAAACAGAAAGACGGCGAACAATAAACGAACAATAATAAGTAATAAGACCCTGAGGCAATTGTTGCTTTACCTCCTTTACCCCCTTGAACAAAAATTTGTTCAACAAAACGCGCAAAACGCGATAAAAAATAAAAAAAAAAAAAAAAAAAAAATAACCAAAAAAACGCAACAAAAGCCAAAGGCAAAGCGCATAAAAGCACAGCCAGTAAATAAATAGATACATATGTGAACATGAAGAAAAGACACTTTGTGGCTCTTTTTATTTTTGATTTTTATTTTATTTTTGGCGCCTTTTATTTCAAGGCCTGTTTGGGGTTTTACCATTGTTGCAACAAAATCGCACCGAGTTCAAGGACCAAATGCGATTTGTTCCGGAATATAAATCCACTGAAAAACCTCAAAAAACTATAGAAATAAATCATGTAGATAGTTTCTAGCTTCTTTAAAATATATCAACTATAAATTTATATTTATAAATAATTTAAATTAAATTAAATTAAATTTAATTCAATTAATCCCCCTTCCAGCCACCATGTTCACAATACCAGGAGCACCAGTCTCAATGCAGTGGCTCCTGCTGACCACTCTCCTTGGGCTGGTCAGCACCTCGCCCTATACGAGCTATCAGAATCAACGCTTCGCCATGGAGCCGCAGGATCAAACGGCTGTGGTGGGTGCCAGGGTGACCCTGCCTTGCCGGGTGATCAACAAACAGGGTACTCTACAGTGGACTAAGGATGACTTTGGACTGGGCACCTCCCGGGACTTGAGTGGCTTCGAAAGATACGCCATGGTGGGCAGCGATGAGGAGGGCGACTACTCTTTGGACATATATCCGGTGATGCTGGACGATGATGCCCGTTACCAGTGCCAAGTGAGTCCCGGTCCCGAGGGCCAGCCGGCCATACGGTCCACCTTTGCCGGCCTAACAGTGCTCGTGCCGCCAGAGTCGCCAAAGATAACCCAGGGCGATGTGATCTATGCCACCGAGGATCGCAAGGTGGAGATTGAGTGTGTTTCGGTGGGAGGCAAGCCAGCAGCTGAGGTGAGTACACCCTCTAGGAACTCAGTATCCTAGCTAAAATGTTCAAAAAAGCCATTTGCCTTTGCCTAGAGTAACCCTCAAACTAGTTGACTTTCGGATTCCCCCAAACACTTAACCAGCTTTATCCTCTCTAACCACTGCTTCTCTTCCCACTCTCCATCCGCAGATTACCTGGATCGATGGCCTGGGCAATGTGCTAACGGATAACATCGAGTACTCGGTGATACCGCTGCCCGATCTGCGGCGCTACACGGCCAAGTCCGTGCTCCGTTTGACCCCCAAAAAGGAGCACCACAACACGAATTTTACGTGCCAGGCGCAGAATACGGCGGACCGCACCTACCGCTCGGCGAGGATACGTGTCGAGGTGAGTTGGACACCTTCCGCCAGGAGCTGTAACTCCTTTGACAGCTCATTGCGGCAAGCACACTGGGCGAAAAGGGGTCTGGCCAATCAATCTCAATAGTGTCCCCTAACAAAAGAGTTTCTCTCAGTGCATTCCTGAGGTTACCTTATCTATAGTATGTATATGGGGAGAGAGAGTGAGAGAGCCTGCTATCAATTTTACGTGATGCCAGGACGATGCGGAAGCCCATTCAAAAGCGAGGGGAACCCCCTCATATTCCGGCTGCTGGGGGATAGTATTTTTTGAATGGGCTTTTGTGCCGGACATGGCTCGACACTGACGGGCTAATTCATGCCCCGACATAAAGGCCCCCATTCGGCTTTGGGTGTGAAATCGAGGAGACGGGCCAACAATGACCTGACCTCAGCCCACTTGTCATTGGCTTCGGTGTGAGGTAGAGAGAGGTAGAGGGAACCAGAGTCACGTGTCCTGGCCGCTGACAAATCCCTGACGAAGATGTCAGGCCAAGAAGGCGACGAAGTCCTCGAGTTGAGTGAGTGGGGATTCCCAGGTGATTGGACAGAAGGGTCCTCGCTCGATATTGGTGCTCCAAAACCCTAGATTAGTTGGTTAATTAAGCTCTAACCGGGATTCCTTCTTTATTTCCAGGTGAAATATGCGCCCAAGGTGAAGGTGAATGTGATGGGATCGCTTCCAGGTGCCGCTAATACGCCTGCCAGTGCCGGCCTGGGATCCCCATCCCCCCTGGGAGCCAGCTCGCGGATCGTGGAGCACTCGCAGGTGCGCCTGGAGTGTCGGGCCGATGCGAATCCCAGCGATGTCCGGTACCGCTGGTTCATCAACGACGAACCAATCATTGGCGGCCAGAAGACAGAGATGGTAAGTGGCGCTCCTCCCAGTCCCAGTCCCAATCCCGTTCCCGTTCCCGTACCCCTTTCCATTACCCCCTTGGGGGCCGTCCTCCTGGAACTGGTTCGCATTCCACTTGCCGCATAATTAGAGCAACTATTGCAAGGAAAATGCTGTTGTATAATGCTGGCAATTATTGGAACCAGTTGGCTTTGCCACCGGAAAGGCCTAACGTTCCCACAATTAAGCCCAGCTCTCGTCTCGCTCTTTTTGAAATGTATTTTACTTGATGTATTTATTTTCTTCTATTTTTTAATTCCATTTTTTAAGGTAATACGCAATGTGACGCGCAAGTTCCACGATGCAATTGTCAAGTGTGAGGTGCAGAATTCCGTGGGCAAGAGCGAGGACAGCGAGACTTTGGATATAAGCTGTGAGTGGCTCTGCTTTGATTTAGAATTTTAATATAATATAATGATATCTTTACACAACTTTAATGTTTGATATTCATTTCGTCAACAGATGCCCCCAGCTTCCGGCAGCGTCCCCAGTCCATGGAGGCGGACATTGGCAGCGTGGTCTCCCTGAGCTGCGAGGTGGACAGCAACCCCCAGCCGGAGATCGTGTGGATCCAGCATCCCAGCGACCGAGTGGTGGGCACCAGCACCAATCTCACTTTCAGCGTGAGCAACGAGACCGCTGGCAGGTACTACTGCAAGGCCAATGTCCCAGGCTACGCGGAGATATCGGCGGACGCCTATGTCTACCTGAAGGGATCGCCGGCGATCAGCTCGCAGAGGTCGCAGTACGGCCTCGTGGGCGACACGGCTCGCATCGAGTGCTTCGCCAGCAGTGTGCCGCGGGCCCGGCATGTGTCCTGGACCTTTAATGGGCAGGAAATCAGCTCGGAATCCGGCCATGACTACTCCATCCTGGTGGACGCCGTGCCCGGGGGCGTGAAGAGCACCCTTATTATCCGGGACAGCCAGGCATATCACTACGGCAAGTACAACTGTACGGTGGTCAATGATTACGGCAACGATGTGGCGGAGATTCAGCTGCAGGCCAAGAGTGAGTACCTCCTTCATCTTCGGGCTAAGGGTATCCTTTATGCTGCTGGGAAACGGCATCAGTGTTTTCCTCTGACTTCCCCACTAACGAACCCCTCGTTTTCCCCCTCTGCTTTCGTTTTTTCTCCTTCAGAGAGCGTCTCCCTGCTGATGACCATCGTGGGCGGCATTTCAGTGGTGGCCTTCCTGCTCGTCCTCACCATCCTGATCGTGGTTTACATCAAGTGCCGACGCAGCACCAAGCTGCCGCAGGCGGACGTCATCAGCGAGCACCAGATTACCAAAAACGGCGGAGTAAGCTGCAAGCTAGAGCCGGGCGACCGCACCTCCAACTACAGCGACCTCAAGGTGGACATATCCGGTGGCTATGTGCCCTACGGCGACTACAGCACTCACTATAGCCCGCCGCCTCAGTATTTGACCACCTGCTCGACCAAGTCCAACGGCAGCTCCACAATCCTGCAGAACAACCACCAGAACCAGTTGCAGCTGCAGCAGCAGCAGCAGAGCCACCAGAGCCACCAGAGCCACCACCACCAGCCCCCAAACACGCAGACCCTGCCGATGACCTTTCTCACCAACAGCAGCGGCGGCAGCCTCACGGGCAGCATCATCGGCTCCCGGGAGATACGGCAGGACAACGGGCTGCCCAGCATGCAGTCCACCACGGCCTCGGTGGTGAGTTCCTCGCCGAATGGCAGCTGCTCCAACCAGAGCACCACCACCGCCACCACCACCCATGTGGTGGTGCCCAGCTCCATGGCCCTGAGCGTGGATCCCCGGTACAGCGCCATCTATGGCAATCCCTACCTGAGGTCCTCCAACTCCTCGCTGCTGCCGCCGCCCACTGCCGTCTAAGGAGGCAAGCGTGTCGCCAGCCGCCGAGACACTGGTGCACCCCCCCTGGCCACTCTAAAGACTGATCTCAAAGGACTCGAGGCTTGAGGGGAAGCCAGTGCCGGCCGCTGGTGGCGTTATCTTTCAGCTACCAAAAATCGAATTCGAATCGCCTAGGCTTGTAAGGATATCTAAGGACTTAGCTCACACACCCGTAGTCGTAAGCCAAACATTAGCAACGATTTCAATTTCAATGTTCGTCGTAGTCCCTAGCTTAACCACATACTTTTTTTTTTATTTTTTTGAACATCGTATTATGGATCGTAGTGAATAGGTAAGATCTAGAGAGAGACTAAGCTTCAAAGAATGAGAGTTAAGCATTTACAAGAGATATAGTAGGAATAGGGCTGCTTGCTGAGTAAACGCCTTAAAGAAGTAGCTTCGCTGGTGATTTAACCTCCAGTTGGTAAGGAGTTTCTCAAGGCGGTCTTTTGGGGGTATCAGAGGACAGTTTAGAACTGGTTCTGTGAGTTGCATTTAACACTTGGTTTGCTGTCATGGCTTTTCTTAATCGCTGCCCTTGAAAACTCTTAAAATATATGGAAAAAAAGAATTGAAATCATTTATGTATACATGCTAAATGTTAAAGCTAACTGCTAAATGTTGAAACAAAAATCTATGTATACAGCATGAACATTCGATCGAATGGTTATTAATTTTAAGCAAACGAAATGCCAAAGTACCTGATAGTATTTAAGTCGGAGTCCCCCCAACTTTTCTGCATTATATTTAGCATTAGTTTATCTCGCCTAAGCTTTTTTGGATAGTGAGTTGTAAACTAAAATAAATATATACAAGCTAGATCTTTGACAGTCGCCTTAACTTATGAAAAAAACGCCCACACATCTCATGCCAGAAAAAAAGAAGAAATGCTAAAAAAAAATTATATATAAAATATATATACACACATATATATTATATAAGAAAAGCAGTAGGAGAAATATATTCAATTCGTCAGTTCAATTGTGCTAAGTGTACTTCTAAGTGTATAACGGTCTAATTATCCTAGTTGTAGCCCAACTAAAGATACACATGCGTATTTAACATATAGAGCATACATAGACATAGCTATATACAATACATACATTTTTTTTTCATAGCCCTAAGCATTATATTTTGATAAACAAACGTATTTCAATTAAGAAAGAAACCCCTTTTACCCCCTCCTGAAAAAATGTGTGTGAAAAGTCCACCCCTTATACCCCCAAAGTTAAAAATTTTTTTTTTTGCTATATTTATTAGTTTCAGCAATTAAGCCCGAGACGAACAAATGTTTTCTGTATACAAAATTCAAATGATTAAAACAAATAAGCGAAACACACACACACACACACACCCACAAAGTTAAACACAACAACAAAAAAACTGAATAAAAATAAAAATAAATATTAAAAAACAAAACAAAAAAAAAGGAATTGAAAGAAGCGAATGAGCGAATTCATTGCGCGTTTCGGACATCAAAGACGAAAGACAAATAAGGGGAAGCGAAACATTTTTAATTTGGCCAGGTCGTGGGGTTCCCCGCTCCCAGATCCCGTTTCCCGGTTCCCGGCCAACTGTCAGCTAACTGCAAAAAGCCAAAAATCAAACAAACAAAAGTGAAATGAAAATGTTCCAGCACTTGGGTCGGTTGGGTCCACCACCGCTAGTCATGTGTGTTAATTTATGGCCAGCTGGAGTTCAGAGTGCGGAGTTCGGAGGAGAGTTGCGAGTTCTCAGAGTCTAGCTGTCAGCACTGGAAAAAAAATTTGAAAACTTTGGCTTTAATAGGGAAATAGAATCTAATTTGATTTTATACTTTTTTAAGTCCAATAATCTATTTATTGATCGATTTTTTTGGCTTTGGAAACTTCGAAATTATAGCTGGTATTTCCAGTAAATTTTTCAGATTTTTTTTCTCAGTGCACTGAGCCAAGCTGCAGAGTTGACAGTGCAAACAAACGGCTCGCTAAGCTCAACTAAAAATGCTTAATGAGAGTGCGTATAGCCAAAGCCACCACCCACCCATAGAAGTACCACCCACACTCTGCCTTACCTTCTCCCATTTTTAGCCCCCTTTTCAGCCCCCTTTTGCCACGCCCTCCCCCCCTTGAGGCAAGTGTTGGCCGCAAGAAATTCTGCGGCTGTGGGCAACAAAGTCGCGCACGACGCCCATTAAACTAAATTAGTTGCCCTTTGTCACCGAACGACCCTCGCCTGTCACACGTGGCCCGCAGGGGGTAGCTGGGCTGCCTCTGTGTGTAAGTGTGTGGGGGTGGGTGGTGGAGGTGGTGTATTTATTCAAGTGGGCGGATTGGTACATATGTACATACGTGCACTTGGCCAGAGGAAAGAAGTTGCAATTGCGGTCGACGGTGTGTTAATTAGCATTATTTTCTTTTGTTCATTAAAAGAGAGAGAGTGTAGACCAGAAAAAATTAAATAAATTGGTTGAATTTGGAACTATGATAATTACTAGAAAGTAAACTAGAAAAGAACTATTTAAAAAGTTTCTGAAACTTCAAAATTGACTTAAAATATAATTAAAAACAAAGCCTAAAAAACCCTTTTAAAAACTAAAACAAAGCTGATTTCGTAGTTAAATTTCAGGCATTTTTGCCTTAGTTAAAAATTTTGTATGTTTCAAAAACATATCATAAATAATTACAGGAAAATATATTAAATTACATGTATTTATTTATATTTCGATTAAAATATTTTCAAAGCGCATAGAAACCAATTTAAATACTGTTTGTGGCTCCTCAAAGAATCTCCTTCAGTTTTTGCCAAAAAAAAAAAAAAAAAAAACCAATGATAACTGCCGACAACTGGGCAAGTTTTGTGGCACCTTTTGTTCGCACATGAGATGTCCTGGGTAGGGGGAATCCCCTCGTTGCCAGGAATTCACATTTCCATTGTTCGTGAAGTCGTGCGGAGTTTCCCCGGCGCGTTAATCACCAGGCTATGTGATCCAACATCCTTCCGAGATCCCTGGGCTCCTTTTTGGGGTCCTGGTCCGCGTCCTTTATTTAAGGGGAAGAGCGACGGCGACGGGCAGCCAGGAGATGGCACAAAAAACGGACACGAGGCGCACGAAGAGTTACGATTTCATTAACATGAGATATGGCAAGTGCCAAAGCGCTGGTCGGTTTCGGGGGTGCTGGTTTTCCGGCTTGTCCCCGGTTTTCGGTGTTTTCGGGGATTCCGGGGGGCTGAAGTTGGGGTTCGGATTCTCGGTATGTTCGGCTTTTTAGGGGTCGTTCCGGGGGGTCGTGTTGGGCTGGTTTATGGCTCAAGTGTTGGCTTGTCGTCGCCGCTTGTGTCGCAGTGCGTTGTTAATTGCTACAAGGAGCGACAGAGAAAGGTGAGGCACTGAGAGAAAATAAATGTTTGAAATTGATAATTTATTTATTTATTTTTAATAAAAACGAAAGAATTTGACAGATAAAGTGTGTTATTAATTTACCACAAACCTTTAATAATATTTCAAAAATATTCCCAAATTAGAGGCTGAGAAAAAAAACCTCAGGTCAGTTTAAATAGTACAAATTTAGACTTGGGAATTATAAATACACGAATATAATGAAGCAACTTTAAAAAATATTTCATTAAATATAAGAACAACTATGGCATTCATAAGCGCATGTTAGCTGGATCATCTAAAATACAATTAATACATTTATTTTCATTTGTAACTCTTTATTTTCTCTCAGTGTTTCGGCTCAGGGTCGCTTCATATGATTAGCAAATGTTTTGTTTTTCACTATGCACTAAAAACCAGTCGGGGCGGCAAGCGGCTTTCGGGAAATGGGAAATGGCTAGCAAGGAAATGGGAAACGCACCAGCCACCAACTGGGGGGGTGGACCAGCCCTAACCTAAACCCCAAAAATGCCTGGCAAGTTTGGAGGTTGGAGGTTGCCTAATGCCGGGTCGCCATTGTAATTGCTGCCCGATGTGTGCCAGCTTGTTTGCCTTTGTGTGCGTGGCGAGTTGAATTTCTTGAATTAATAAAATGTCTTCATTATTTAAATTGCGCGCACGACCGCAGAGTCGGAAAAGCCACCCCATTTGCCCATTTTCCCACCCCGCAAACATATGTGTGGCGGTTGACATGCATATATCTCCCCGAGTGCTTGTGTGTGTGAGACTGAGTTAATTAGCAGCTGGGGAATTGTGAAATATATTAATATTGTACATTTCGGTGGGTCCTGTACCAGCACCCCAACACCCCTTGACCACAACAAGCCGTGTCACGCATTCCATTTCCCACTTCGATGCTCCTTTTGCGGTCCATTGAAAATGGCTGATGGTAAAGGGAGGGCACTTTAGGTTGGAATAGAATCTATAAAAGTTCACCTTAGATATTGCAGTTCAAGGGTTTTGTCCCTTCAAAAGAAAGAAATATTAATAAATTACTAACAATTTATAATTATATCCTACCTATTCTTCAGTGAAGAGCTTATGCTCTTTTATGGCATACTTTTGGCGGCTTGTATCTGAAAGATACTTCTATTTATTTGAGGCATACCTACGGGCTGCATGCATAACCCCTCGAGATATCTGTAAATTTTATTTATTTATTTTTAATTTATTATTTATTTTATTATTTAAGCAATACCTCACTCTCTTGCTTTGATTTTATTTATTATCTTTATAGCTGTAATCGACAACTTGCTTTATCATATCGATAACTATCGATATACCCCAAAGCTCTGTTTTGGCTTCACACGATCGCCAGCAGGTGGCGCAGGCCCTGCTTGCTGATAGCAGCCACAAAGGCGATAAGTATTCCGATTAGCGAGAATAATTAAGAGGTGTTAGCTCCAAAACCATTAATACATACACCCCACAGATCGGAGACACTACTTAGGGCTGCACAATATATATATATGTATATATGTATAATTAGGAACAACAAGAAAAAAAAATTCACTGGGATGGCTTGGCAAGTAAATGCAATTTTCTGGCTCCACCTGCGGCAAGGGAGGGGCACTACTTGAGGCCGCCGGTGACCTCGATGGCGGCTCCATTCACGTAGGACGACTGCGGGGAGGCCAGGAAGGCAATTACCTCGGCAATCTCCTCCGGCTGGCCCAGCCGACCCAGGGGGCAGCGCTGGACCACCTGCTGCTTGATGGCATCCGGCACCACGGCCACCATGGGCGTGTCTATGTAGCCGGGCAGGATGCAGTTGACCCGGATGCCAAATTTGCCGAACTCCTTGGAGGCCACCTCGGTGAAGGAGATGACGCCGGCCTTGGTGGCCGCATAATTCGCCTGCCCAATGTTGTTCATCTTGGCCACGATGCTGGAGAGGTTCACAATGCTGCCGCCGCTCAGCTGGCCCTCGATCATGGCCTTGGCAAAGGCCTGGGTCACCAGGAAGGTGCCCTTCAGGTTCACCGCATAGACGTCATCGTAGTCCCTCTCGGGCATCTTCAGCAGATAGCCGTCGCGCGTGATTCCGGCCGAGTTCACCACAATGCTGGGAGCCACCTGGAAGGCCTTCAAGGCCTCGGCGACGGCGCCCTGGACACTCTTTGCCGAGGAGACGTCCACCTCCAGGGCGGCGGAACGATCGGAGCCCAGCTCCTGGGCGGTCTGCTGGGCCGCCTGCAGGTTGCGATCCGCGGCAATCACTTTGGCTCCGTCGCGGGCCAACAGTCGGCAGGTGGCACGCCCAATGCCGGAGCCGGCGCCTGCAGGGAATAAGCACACAATTGGTCACTCGATACCCCAGTGCGTCACGCCACCCACCTGTCACCAAGGCCACTTTCCCTGCCAGTAATCCCGCTGACATTCTGCTGCTGTTCCGAGTTTTCCTGCTCGAGTGAGGTTGCCGAGTGAACGTGTGGTCGCGGAAGTTATCGCTCCGGCGAACAGCTGTGCGAAAGCTTCCAGATAAGCGATGGAACGAGAGTCCCGTCCCGTCCCCCAAAGCTTCATGGTTCGATCGGAATGAAGATGGGAGCATCCGCCCTCGCCAAGTGCGCCCAAAAGTATGCCAGAAGGCGGATGAATACCATTAACTTTACGATTTTCCCTGATTTAGACATCTCTTTATTGCTTTCACTCCAATGGTATCAGGTAGTACTCCTGCAGTTCGGCCTGCGCGACACCGTCGATGCTCCTGGCCAATCCGAACTGCCGCAGGATCTTCCGCAGATATCGCTTGGGTATCTTCACCAGCTGCCGCCGAATAATGCGCTGGACTCTGTTCCAGGGACGACTGCTGCCCCTGTGATCTTCCGCGTAGTCCACCGCCTGATCATCCTGCTCCTGAGCAGCCTCCTCGTTTTCATCCTCGTTCTTATCCTCGTCCTTGGCCTGCAAGATGGCCAGCTGCTGGGCCAGTTTCTGCAGCTGCCCTGAACTCAGCCCACTGAGATCGATCTGCGGCTCAGTGGATCGCAGTCGCAGCCGGGAGCCACAGCCCCTGGCCGAGATCTCCGGGATCGCGTGTAGCCAGATCGCGGACACGATCAGCAGCACCAGCCAGCGTAGCCCCTTCATGTTTGCCTTCTGCCGCCGGCGAAATGCTGGCTTAAATACCTAAAAAATGCGCCCCATCATTCGTCACGATCTGAGCTCGATGATCTCTGGCAAAGATCTGGAATGTGGGTCAAGTACGCACTCCGAGCACACAATTGTTTCAATGAGATTCTATGCCCATAAAAAAGAAATAATTATAATCGTTGGGGATCAACGATCGGATATCCATTTTTGTGGGTGGCCATAAATAAAACTGAAGCTTCATCTACTACTACTACTTTTAACTATGTTTAACCTTAGGAAATTTAGGAAAATCGTTTGCCTTAGCTTTACCATTATCCTTATTTGTTGTCTTCTTTTTTTATATTTTAAAAAATATCCAAGAAAATAGTCAAGTTCCCTCTACCAGACGTTGTTTAAGCTTGGCTCTTTTCTGGCTGGGTAACCATAATTGCAAACTACGATTGGAATTACTTTTGAAAAGACTTTGTTTATTATGTGGCTTGCCACAGGAAGTGTGACAGTATGCTTCGATTTAGACTACAATAAATTAGAAAAAAAAAAAAATATATATTCTGTTGCTGCTGCTGCTGCTGCTGCGACTCCCCTCTGGGATTCAGATTCGGGTGCCAGGTCCTCTCTTAGACGGCGGTGATGCGGCGACGGTTCTTGTTGCGATTCTTACGGTTCTTCTTGCCGCCAACGCGACGACGGTTCATGTTCTTGTTGCCCTTGTTGTTGATCCTCTTGCTGGGAACCCGCTTGCGGACGACGCGACGCTTGCTCACCGGACGACTGCCGGTATTGAGCATCACCTTCTGGCCGTTCTTGAAGTAGCGACGGTAACGGGGCGGGATGCGAACGCTGATCACCTGGCCGCGGCGGGCGCCCTTGCGGCGCAAGTTAATGTGACTGCTCTGGGTGGCCTTGCTCTGGCCGGTGCCCTGGAGCTCTGGCTGGGTGACAACCTCGTACTCCTGGGCGCCGGCGGCCAAAGCAGCCTGCAGGGCCTGTTCGTCCATTAGATCGGCGGGATAGGCCTGGGCCGGCTGCTGCACATTGCCCTGGGACAGTTCCTCGTCCTCGTCCTGCTCCTGATCCTGGTCCTGTTCTTGGTCCTGGTCCTGCTCTGGCTCCTCATCGCCGTAGCTCTTGCGAACGGTGAACCTACTCGCGGTGGTGGTGGTGGGGGATGTGGTGATGGTACCCGTGGCCGAGGGAATCGTGCCCGTTGAGGTCACCGTCACCGTGGGGGAGCTGCTGGCGGTGCCAGTGGCAGTGCTTGTGCCAGTGCCTGCTCCTGTGATAATGATCGGGATCACCGGCTGGTTGCTGCTGCTGAACAGGTTCTTGAACGTGAGGAATTTCTTCAGGAAGAGCCTGCCGCTCGAGGGGTCCTTGCTGACCTGGGCTCCACCAGCTCCAGCTCCAGCTGCCGCTGCAGCTACCGACGATGCCGCTGCCATGCCCAGCTTAGCATCCTGCTGCTCCTGGTCGACCTCGACATTGCGGGAGCGAGCCAGCTTCTTTTCGGGAGCCGCATGGGCTGCCAGGCAGCAGGATAACAGAACTGCGAACACAAACAGCTTCATTTCTCGGTTTTTGCCTTGCCTTGGCTGTCTTTTGAATCGACTTGGAAACTACTCGTCGAGGAGAACTTTTCTGGGTGGACCAAAATCGCGCTTGGCTTTGCTGCTCGCCGATGGCTGGACAATCAGGCTCTGATACATTATCGGGGCAGCGACAGGGCTTTTATAGGCCGATTGACCAAGTGAAATGCAAATGACCGGCAATCGCCAAGTGCCAGCAACGGTAATGCTATGTACACAATCGACATTCAATTGATCACCGATCGCTGCCAGCTATATTCGCATATCACATTATATTCTTCGCCGTCATCGTCGTCCGTCAACCGGGCGACGCGCCGTTCTGCCGATCATCCAACGGGCCTTTGCCAAGCGTAACGCCTTTGGGTTTTTGGTTTCTTGCCGGCCTCTGGGTCTCTGGCTTGGGGTTTTTGGGTCTTTTGGGGTTTCGGATTTGGGCCTTCTGGCAGCATATTTTTTTTTTTTTTCATTTGAAATTTTCTATTGCGGCTTTCTAAGCGTGCTGAAGAGGGGAGCTATCATGGCTAACAAGCAAGCACAGACAAAAAAAGTGAAAACCTAGCTCTGAAATTGATTTCTAATTGCAACCGACGCGTCGGGGTCAAAGGCGAGCAGTCTGTGAAAGTGGCTACAATTTTCACTAAGGACCACAAGTTTGAGCCAAGAATCAACAAGAAAGAGAGCTAACCGAAGCTTGTATACCCTTGCAGATCATTGAGAATCGGATTTATTTCTATATTATTTAAAAATTCAATTTTGATGCTATGTAAAGTTTTAAGTATTTCCCCCCGCTTGCCACCAAATGAAATGTATGTGCCGTTATTTACTAATATTTAAAGATTTCAAAAATGTTTATTTCAGCTGCGGCTACCTGCAGCAGCACATTTGCCATTACAAAACAAATTACCCTAATTTTTGAGCCAATAATCCGGGTTGTGATAAAAAATCGGGAACAAATTTTAAAATTAAAAACGTCACCTGAGTACCTCGGGGCACTTATCCCTTAGTGAATGCAATACATTTTTTGGATATCGGATGTTTTTATGGACAGTGAGAATAGGATGTACACCGAAAACAAACTTTTTTTATAGGAACTTAGGAGATTCGCTATTACCTAGAAAAAATAGTTTTATAAAAATGTTGTATGGGATCTATAAGATATAGAGATCCGATTTTAACCAAATTTGGTAAGAATGCATATACCTGTACCAAACATATAATCTGTGAAATTGGTTAAGATATATTGAAAAACAAAAAAGTTTTTCATATTAAGTATTGATTTTTAACAGATTGTTCCTATGGCAACTATATGATATAGACGAGCAATATCGCCAATTTTTTGTAGATATACTTAAAACATTTTTCTAGAATCTAGATAGAGAAGTATTTATGGCCGCGGCTCCATACAAGCTCGACCAGTGTGCAGAGGTCAGGCTTAAAATAACAACTAAAGTACGACATTACTTGGCACTTTAGCCTCTTGCCTTTTGATTTCGTACAAAAGCTGCAGAAATTTTGCCCCAATAATATCTTAAAAATCTCTTATAATAAAATGACGATGAGATCAGGCAATTTCGACTGTGTGCGTACAGATCTAGAATGTTTTTTATGGCACGACTTTATGGGTCTGAAAGTGGGCGGAGGAAAAGACAGTGTATTTTTTATGGAATATTCGCTTTATTGGGTTTCTTCATTCGCATACAGGTCAAATCGAAGTTCGAGCTGGGCGGGGGGTCAGAGGTCAGGGGTCCTAGTTGCGACGGCGACGACGACGCAGGCGCTGGCGGACAATTTGGTTGTTGCGGCGCAGGCGGCGGCGGGTATTGCGGCTACGACGGGCCTGGCGGGCGCGGTTCCTGCGGGAACGGTTGATCAAACGGCGACGCCTCTGCAGGTTGCGACGGCGCTGGCGGCGACGGTTCTGGCTAGCACGTCGGCGGTTACGCCTGGCAGCGTTGCGGACATCATCGAGCTGCCTGCGGAGCTGATCGTTCAAATCCTTTTGGCGGCGAATCTCGAGCTCCTGCTTCAGTTCAGCGGCAGTCAGATCACCGTTGGCGCGGGAGCCGGTGGCCTGGTTGGGGCGCCGACGCAAGCCGGCTGAGGATTGGGCCCGCTTGCCGGCCACCACCAGATCGAGGCTGTTGTCCTCCTCCTCCTCATCGTCGTCCTCCTGATCGTCGTCCTCGTTGTCCTGACCCCTCAGATACTTCTCCTCTGCCACCTCATCGTACTCGTCGTCGTCACTGTCGTCCAACAGCTGATTGTTTATGTTGTTCAATAGTCTGGCTGCGGGGGTGGGACTACGAGCGGCGGTGGTAGTGGTGGTAGGGGTAGTAGTCGTAGAACCAGTAGTTGTACTGGGTGTAGTGGGTCCACTGGTGGTGGTCGTCGCGGTTGGAGCGGGGCTTACGGTTGCGGTCGTGGTGGGTGGCGGGCATGCAGGCTGCTTCAAAGCCATCAATGCCTGCAGATTGCGAGCCTCGATCTGCACGGGCTGCTTAAAGAGCTGGAACTTGGTTTGGATGGGTTCCTCGCTGGGCTCCTCATTTGAGCGAGCCACTGAAAAAGGAATTTTGGGTTTTGTTTAGGCATTTTTATAAGAAGAAGAGCTGGTTGTGGTCACCAGGAGGAGGCTAAAACTCACCACCCGCTTGGGCAAAAATCGCTGTGCCCAGCACCAGCAGAGCGCCGTAGATGAACTTCATCGTTGGTTTTTCAGAAAAACTTGGCCGAAACTGAAAATTGGCTGGACTGCTGCTTTGAGGAGCTGTGTGTGCCTTAGGGAAGGTCACTAGTGGACTGTGATATTGCCAGCGGCCATCGGGGGTTATATACCCGACGCTCCAGTTACCGATAACACCAACAACCAAAGAGAATTCGCACAATTCTCATTATCATTTCTTTTTTTTGCAAATTTGCACATTTGCCAAAAGTTTTTGCATAAATTTCCTGACCGCTCGACGATCGTTGAACTAGTTTGACCCGCACGACATTTTTTCTAAACATGAGCATCTGAATGAACCCCTCTGCTATGGCCACCATATAATTGATTGCCACAACGTTAAAGGTATATCGGAGGGACCTATGAGGCGCCCAAAAAGCCGGAAAATTCTGTCTCAAAACTAAGCTAAATTAGACCCAATCTTGCTTCTAAGATATATGAATAAATCGTTATTCAAAACTGCAAATTAATTGTATTCTTTTCAGGATATGACTTTGATTACGACCAAGCTCAAGCTTGGCTTTAGTTTAGGTGATATTTTCATTTTAAATATATATCTTAGATCTTATTTTGACTAGAACTAAATACATAAACGGTTTGTATAAGCAGCAGGAGGATTTTGGTTATTTTTGGCACCTTTAGTCTCAATCCAAAATAATCAATCAAGGTTTAAGGTCAAGAGCTATGGTCACAGATGTAATTTAAATTCAGTTTCTTACAAAACCAGCGTTTTTTTATGTTTAGCCTTACAATTTGGTCTCATCTTTTTCAATTAGGTTCTAGGAGACTCCCTCTACATTGAGAGGTTCCTATGGGAAATAATACGTCTTAAGTATTTTCAAAAAGATAGACATGAATGAATATTATAAATGAATGAATGAATGAAGCATATCTTAGCTTTAACTAAACTTCAGACTGAAGTTACTAGAATTTGATGACGGTAACTGCAACGATCATCCAAGATGAGGCAGCAAATGCGAGAAACTGGTGGATATATCCCCAAGTACTCCTCTTGATGGAAGCTATAACAATAATCCAAAGAGAATCAAGACTATCAAGAAGATCGTTTTGGCCCTTTCAATGGCACCCCCTGCCCTGGAAATCTGCTACCTGCTAGTGCCTCGGCACTGGCCCACTAAAAGTCCTTGGGGTTCATTCAATCATTGCTCTTTATTCGGGTTTCTGGGGGGAACTCGGGGAACGGGGTGGACTCTAGCCTTGGACACGGATGACACGGTTCCTGCGGGGAGTGCTCTGGCGGAAACGGTTGACGAGGCGCATGTTCTGGCGGCGGTTACGGCGCTGGCGACGCTTCTGCTGCTGCTGGCGACGGCGACGCTGCTGCTGGCGGCGCCTCTGCTGCTGGCGACGCTTCTGCTGCTGCTGCTGACGACGGCGACGCTGGTTCTGCTGGCGGCGACGGTAGCGCTGCTGCAGCCTCTGGCGCTGCCGGCGGGCGCTCAACTGGCGGCGACGGCTGGCCTGCGAGCGGGCCAACTGGCTATGTCCGAAGTGCTCCTCTTGGTCGTCATCGTTTTCCAGCTGAAATTGCTCCTCCTCCACATCCTGATCCTCGTCGTCCTCCTCCACCTCATTGTTGGCCTGGCGAGTTGCGCCTGTTGCAGTTGTTGGGTTTGTGCCTGTGGTTGAGCCACCTGTTGGGGTGGTGCTAGTGGTTGAGGTTCCTGTCGAGGTAGTGGGAGCCGTCGGTTCTGACGTTACAGTGGAGGTGGTGGAGGGAATGGTCGTAGTCGTGGGAGAAGCTGTGGTGGTGGTGGTGGAGCCCTTGAGGCTGTTGAGGATGTCCGTAAGCTGGGAGGCACTCAGGCGTCCCTGGGCGGCGGGCTCATCCCGCTGGCGGCCCAGGAACTTCTGCTGGGGTTTGGCTACAAGAGAGAGAGAGAGAGAGAGGAAGAGGGCTTAGCTTGAGAAAGAACTTGGTGGAAAGGCTACACCCACCGCTGGCAAAGGCCGCCAGGCACACGACAATCAGTAGTCCCTTCATCAGATGCATCTTCTGGCTAATCCTGGACTGGCTCTAAGGGCTGTGGGCTGTGTGGCGAATCTGGGGATCTCTTGGATGGCTAGGCTGCCTGTGACTGACTTCTGGGGTCGAGACCCGGCATATTTATATGTAACCACTTACATGGCCCCGGCCCTTGCCGGCCCTCGGAGGTTACAACACTCCAGTGGGTGGGACAGGGAGAGAGAGAGACACTGGGCCGGGGGAGCAAGGGAGAAGGCGCTACCTCTTTTAGGCCTACGAAGAAAGGGCCCTACAAGAAAGCCATTTTGCTCGTTTCTTTTTCGCCGGCGTTGTAAACGCTTTGCATAATGCCATAAATAATCGCAGCTGACCCGTAACCCCAGCGAGCTCCGCTCCGATCGCTCCGATCGATGATCATTTGCATATATCTCGCGAATCGCCGACATTTGCATATTCATATTTGGCCATGATTCCCAGTTAGACTCTCAGCACGTTCTGGGCTTCTTTTGGCTTCTTTCAAAGGGCGAAAGTGGAGACGCGATGTCAATGAACCAGCGAGGCGGTGACCCCGCCAAGAATTCTGCGAGAAGAGAGCTGGCGTTGCCAGGGAGAAGAGAGTTCTCCATGTAAAATAGTGTTCACTATTTAATCTTATTTTAGAGCTTGTTTTATTACAAGAGTCCAGGCAGAGGCCTGCTGGGATATTGCCACAGGATTTGGATTTAAATTAGAAGACCTTGAGGCAGGATTTATTTATATTTCTTCGGAGAGCACAGACTTTACTTATTTTTCGAAGGTATTCAAGTCCGTGTATCTCTGCAAAAAAAAACCCCTCTAATAATAATATTTACAGGAATCAATCCCAAAGAGCTCGTTTCAAGCTCTTGGCTATCCCCTGCCTCTGATCTTCTTTTCCTGCTCCCAGGATCAAGGATCAACAAAAATAATAATAAAAAAAAAAAAATTGATTTGCATACAAAGTTCAGTTTATTTCGGGGATCAATTTCTCGGCTGGGGCATCAAGATCTGGAACCAGGCTCAGGGATCTAGACACGACGTCCACGACGACGGCGCAGGAGCCGCATGAAACGGCGGCGCTGCTGCTGCTGCTGCCGGCGACGACGCTGCTGCTGCTGGCGACGGCGACGGGCGGCATTGTTCTGCCGGCGGCGCTGGCGCTGCGCCTGAGAGCGGTTCCTGTTGCGGCGCTGCCGCTGCGAGTTCCGACGACGATTCTGCTGCCGCTGGCGGCGCAGCCGCTGCTGGGTGCGCCTCTGCTGCTGGCGCTGGCGACGCAGCAGGCCGCGGATGCGCTGGTTGTGCTCCCGCTGCAGGCGTTGGATGCGACGCCGGTTGCGCTGCGCAGCCTGGAACTGGCGCCACTGCATTTCCGTGGGTCTCACCACGGCCCCGGAGTTGGCAACGGTGGCGGAGACCTCCGCCTGCTGTGGCTGGGCCCCGGAGCCCAGCATGTAGTAGTCCTCATCCTCATCGTCGTCGCCGCCAGCCTCCAGGCCGGCACCGTCCTCCTCATCGTCGTCGTCCTCTTCCTCGTCAAAGGAGCGGGCCAGCTCATCATCCAGATCCGCATCTTCCTCTGGTGCCTCGGGCCCGGAGCCGAAGGCGCGTCTGGTGGCAGTGGTGGTGGTTGGGGTTGTGGTGGCGCTGGTGGTGGATGTGGTAGGGGTCGTAGGGCTTGAGGTAGACGTGGTGGAACTGGTGGGTGTGGTTGAGGGTGTTGTCGTGACTTCTGTAGTGGTGGTGGTGGTGCTAGTCTTCAGCGCCGTGAGCTTGTTGGCGATCGCCGTGGTGAAGCGAGCCTCGGCCTGCGGGTCGGAGACGCGGTGGCTTAGGCGGTAGCCCAGGCGACGCTCGGCTGATTTGGGGAAAAAAGATAGTGTGTTAGATCGGTGTGGGGCGAAGGAATTCTTTCTTCTCAGACCCAAGGCCTGATCGGACTCACCCAGACTGCTGGAGGGGGCCAAGAGAGCGCAGAGCGCCAGGGCCAGGCTCAGCTGAAGCAGGCCGTTCATTCTGCAGATCGGTTTCGAGAAGCGGAGAAAGGGTGTGCTGGGGGGTTTGCTAAGGGGCTCCTGGCTGGTGTCTCCTGGTTTATGATGGGTTCACTTGTTGCCACTGAGCTGACACTCACAACTGACTGACAACTGACGGCTTGTCCCGGGATTATATACCCACTTTGGCAGCCCCGTCTAGCTGATCGATGGCTGTCAGTCCCCCCTCTGGACCACGGCTCCCTAGTCGGCTCTATTAGCCAAAAGTTCGCCCGGGGTCAAAGTGAACCGGGTCGCGGGTCAGAGGCGTACGAATTTTATGCTAATTTCCCCGCTCGCACAACTCATTTGCCAAAAAAAAAGCATTCTTCTTTCGCTCGCTGAGCAGCCGATGATTGATTGACGTCAAGACGTCAAGCAGGCGATAGAGGAAAAGCAACAGAACTCTTTCGGGGGCCAGATTTTGGCCCAAACGGAGCTTCTGGGCCATCAGTTCTTTCGGCTCCCCCAGTTGCCTCAATTTCCGTTTGCCAATTAATACAAGTTACAAGCTTTACAGCCGAGATTTACCACGTTACAGGCACAGCCAGAACTCCAGAGCTATTATTAACTGAAAGTCAAAATGGAAATGGCTAAGATCTTGGCACCTAAGGGGGAATACAAGGTATGTTAACTTGGCTCGCTGGACGTGACCCACGGCCAAGAGTTCAGCCTTAAATCACAATTTTATCCAGATGGTTCAGATATCCTTGAGTTACTTCATTCATATAGTTTCACTCTAAAAATAATTCATACAGTGACGCCAAAGATCTTTAATTTAAATCAATTTTATTAAGCTTTAACAATATAAGTAAGACTTAGTTTTAAGCAATAAAGCAATATTTTAAGCTACTGCATTACAAATTAATTAAACGAAATATATTTACAAGCAACCAAAAGCAATAAACATTCTTGGAGGTATACAGAAAAGTATGCACCAATCTCTTTAGTAATTCCCAAAACAAATAAAAGTTTAAGAAGAGTCTCTCAAAGGGTCAAATTAATTAATTCAGGCAGAAACTATTTGTTCTATATTTTTTTATGATCTCTAAGAAGAGTGCTTAACTTCTGAGTTAAGCTTTTGAATTAAGGCTTGACTCATTTTGGCTTGTGGTAAAAGTTAAAGCATTTAAAGAATTTGTTATACATTTATTCCTCATATATTTCTAGTATTTTCCTCATATATTCCGTATATTCTTCATATATTCCTCATATATTCCTTATATATATGCCTCATATATTCTTCATATATTCTTCATATATTCCCCATATATTCTTCATACTTCTCCCATATATTTCCCATATATTCCACATATATTCCTTATATATTCCCCATATTTTCCTCATATTTTCCCCATATTTTCCCCATATATTTCCCATATATTCCTCATATATTCTTCATAATTTCCTAAAGGTTTTTATACCCTTGCAGGGTATTATAATTTCAGTCAGAAGTTTGCAACGCAGTGAAGGAAACCTTCCCGACCCTATCTTGATCAGCATCATCAGCCGAGTCGATCTAGCCATGTCCGGCTGTCCGTCTGTCCGTTTCTACGCTAACAAGTCCCTCAGTTTTAAAGCTATCTGAATGAAACTTTGCATATAGTCTTCTATATACTCTCACTGCTATATATGTCGGAACGGGTGAGATCGGACGACTATATCATATAGCTGCCATACAAATGTTCGATAAATTTTTAGAAAAAAAATTTTAACTTGGCTGTTTTTCAAAATTTTTGCATCATTTTTGAGATATGGCCATTTTATATTATTCCAGAATTTTGGTAAAAATTTTATGAAAATCGGACGACTATATCTTATAGCTGCCATAGGAACGATCGGAAAATGAATAGGAAAATAATTATAACTTTGTTGTTTTTCAACATATTCTTAGCTACTTTTAGATATAAGCTTCTTTTATTATTTCAGAATTTTGGTAAAAAATTTTATGAAAATCGGATAACTATATAATACAGCTGCCATATAAACGATCGGTAAATGTATAAAATATGTAAAGCTGGGAATGTAAAACTGTAACTGTCAAACTGTAAACATAACAAGTATAGGTAAAATGTAATGAAACTCTGTTTTGTGAGTGTTCTCAGTATTATAATCTATAATATAAACATCAAAACCAATCTGCAAGGGTATACAAACTTCGGCATGCCGAAGTTAGCTTCCTTTATTGTTAAGTTGATCATTTAGTAGAATTAAGTAGACTTCTGGTAGATTTTATAGGCTCAGGCCTTATATTTGGTTGCGTTCTGTTTCAAGTACTACATATAATAATAAAAAATTGACATACAGAGCAGCAGAAGTATCCAAGTCGGAGTTCTGTGACACACAACTTCCTATTGAAGTTGAAGTTACCAAAGATCTTCCTGAAACTGCTGTTGCACTTGTCTTCCGGAAATTGATTCTCTTTATATTTCAAATCCAGACAATTATATCCTCATAGATTTGTCAAAGTAAAGGACACAATAATCTAAACCCATCCCAACATTCCAACCTTAGATTATTTAAAACTCTCAGCAAATTAAGTTTTATATCACATTTTATTCATTTGTCGCATCGTGTGGTCATGGTTCGTGGAGGGATCTTAACTATAATACTATAGAGAGAGCGTGGGCAGTGCTCCTGATGGTTCTAGCCCTGGTAGACGACTTGGCCACGGCGCCTCTGGTTGCCGCCTCGCCGCCGATTGCCGCTGCCACCGGGACGGATGACGCGAACGTTGCGCCGACGGTTGCCACCGCGGTTGCCACCACGACGACGCCGCTGGACGGGACGGCGGCGACGACGGGCGTTCACGCCCCTTCGGCGGATGTTGCGGCGGCCACTATTCTTGCGGCGTCGCACCACCACGCGATTGGCGCGCTCCTCCTCGATCTCATCGGAATCGGAGTGGCCGGTGCTGCTGCTGGCGGAGCGCTCCATCAGGGCCACCACGGCGCCGTCGGGAATGGCATCGAGGGCGGCACGGGGCACCAGCAGGGCGGCCTTGCCCGTCTTCTCGTCGAGAACGCTCTGGCCCTCGATCTCGATAATGCCATCGGGCACCATGATGGCGCCGGCCTGGTCTCGCGCCACCATCATCTGGGTCTTCTTGGGCAGTAGCTGCTCCTGGTCGTCGTCCTGCTCGGCATCGTCCTCCTCCAGCTCCTGCTCCACCTCGGCCTTGGTGCGTCTCTGAACCAGGCCGCTTCTGGCAAAGTTAAGGCCCAGCTGGTGCTCCAGCTCCTCTTCCTCGTCCTCGTTGTCATCATCATGCTCCATATCGTTATCATCGTTCTGAACATTGGCATCATCTTCACCATCCTGGTCCAAATCGGCCTCGTCCACCTCCTCAACAATCTCGAAGCCCTGAACCACGGCTCCAGCGTTGGCTCGGCCTTGGGGTATCGTCAGGAATATGTAGGGGTGCTGCTGCAGCCCCCTTTGAACCTGCCGGCGACCCTGCAGGCTCTGGGGGCGTGGCCCAGCCGAGGCCAGAGCCACACAGAGGCTGGCCACCAGCAGACAGACAACTCCCAGCTTGGCCATCATCTTCCACAAAAACAGAACAGAAATTGCAAAAAATTAACTCCTAATTGTAAGCAAAGTCCGAGCCGAACTGTACGATCCGCTGCCGTGGCATTAGGTTTTTATGCGAAAAAGTTCTAGCCAGAAGTCAGAACCCAGAAGGCAGAGGCCGGAGAGAGCCCACTCAGAATGCGAGGCTCTGGGCCATAATTGCGGTCGATGGCGGCATAATTTCAAGTGGACGGACGGATGGACAGTGCCGTTGATATTTGCCCCGAAAACGAATAAACAAAATTATAGAAAAACAAAAGAAAAAAAAAATGTGGGGAAAAGTAGAAATGCGAAATGCGAATAGAAATGGTAATGAAAGAGTTCAGTTCAGTGACCCGCCGCTGGGACAAAAGAACAAGCGCTGAATAAATCAACAGACGCCGAATCAAAAGTCGAAGATCACCGCAGACTCGGCGGTCATGCTAATGACAAAACAATCAGCGACACGCACTTTCGAGCCGAGTCCCAGTCCGCATTGGAGTTCGAGTCCAGTGCCACTGCCAGTGCCAGTCTCAGGCCCTAAGCCCGAGCCCTGAGAACTCTGAAGAGGCCAAGTCATGGACCTGCTCTCCGAGTCAGCGACGCATGCGGAGTGCTCGCAGCCCATCTGCACCGCCGAATGTATATATAGACTTTATGGTAGAGTCCCGGCCATGGCCGAGGGGTCAGGGGCAACTATCCACTGATTGATAGCCCCTCATTGGGCTTTGTCCATGGCGGACGAAGCCGTATAAGGGAGCGGATCGTGAGAGCGGTGATTAATTGGCCAAAGAAATGCTTTTTAAGGCCCAAAGACTTGCCAAAAAAATCATATGGAACAGGTTGAAGGCACGGGAATAAGTGGATTTCTTTTATTCTTACACATAGAACTCATTTTCCAGAGACTTTAGTTAAAAAATTAATTCAAGCTGAGACTGGCTTTCTGGGAATTATCAAGGATTACAAGCATTATAACATCAACTTTAACAACAATTTTATTTAATTGAAACAAAGAAATTGTGAGATTTGCTACTCTCAAAGCCTGCGCTGCTTGAAAATGTTGACAATATCGTACGATATGTGAAAGACCTCATCGTAGCCCACAAGAAAGACGGCGCCCAAGGTGGCCAGCTGAAGTCCTATAATCCATCGCCTGTCCCATTGCCTCCGCGCAAAGGCCGTATTGTAGGAGAACCACTGGCTGCTGGCCAGGAAGACGAAGCCAGAGAATCCAAAGATCCGATGAAACAGATGCACTGCCAGTGCCCCAACGAAGATGAGGATCACGCCCGTGATGGCGCAGGCCAAAAGGAGCAGGTAACCCAGCAGGCCGCACCAGCTGTGCTTCGAGGATATGTGTCGCTCCTGTTCGGCAATGTCGTGCTGCTTGTTCTCCCGCCTTTTGATGGCGCTCTTCGCGTAAATGCCCAGAATGCCGACCCAGAGCGCTAGGACACCCAGCACCACGTGCAGGCTGTTGCCCAACCGAGATCCTGCCACCCAGCAGTAGTGGCACGTCAACATCTGCGCCCCGCCCACGAAGGAGAACAAACCCAAGGTGGAGTACAGGGCATGGTAGGCGGTTCGGCGCAGCTCCAGTCGGAGGCAGGTCCAAGCCACGACCGCCGTGGGCAGGAGCGTACAGATGAGCGCCAGGACATCGATAATGGTCCGGAGGAAGCCGACTCTCAAAATGAAATGAATGTTTGTGAACGGCCCGGAGAGATCGACGAAAATGTTTCCCGCACTCGTGTTGTGGTTGAAGCTCATGGCGCAGTCTGGCTCTGTTTCGGTGATTAATATCTCCGATTTTTGGCAAGTCAAAGTGTTTGAATATTGATGGCCTTGTCAGAGGCATGGGTTGTTACATATATTTATTTGATTTTGGGTGTTTTCCCACTTTATTTTTATTGAGCCAAGCTCTATATTTTCGAATATTTTTATTAAAAATATCTGAATAATTCTCTGCCTGTAGTATTCTGGGAGAATTCAAAGAAAGAAATTGTAAACTATCTGTTTTCCAAGATATTTTTATCTTTTTTGAGTTATTTTCATGTATTACAATTCAGGAGTTTCAATTTTAATTTTATTCAAATCGGATGACTATAACATATAGCTGATTGAATACTTATTAAGATTATAATATAATAAGAAAGAAAGCTAACTTTGGCCAGCCAAAGTTTGTATACCCTTGCAGGTTAAAATTAAAATATATCATAAATAAGCCAAAAATGCATTAATTTCGATTCGGAAAGCGGTTTAGTGTTAGTTTTTATAAGCCTAAAAAAATTGCATACCAAATTTAAAATTTTAAGAAATCAAAATTTTTGGCCATTTTTGCTAATTTTAATGATGTTACCCCTTATCAAATTTCGCAAAATTGGCCAAAAAATCGATTTCTTCCGGGTATGTCTAGAAAGATTCCCCTGTTGATGCTGATCAAGAATATATATGGTTTATGGGGTCGGAAATGATTCCTTCACTTAGAAAAATATTATTTTGTATTATAAAATCGGATTTTTATATTAAAAAACTTCTTGATTTTTTTAAAAATTAAAAATATCATAACTCGACCAAAAGAGCATTAATTTTAAATCGGAAAACTGTTCTGTGCAAGATTTTCTACAGTTAATAAATCTGCATACTTCATTTAAAAATTTTGAAAATTCAATTTTTTATCAAAATCAAAAATTTTAATGATGTTACCCCTTATAAAATTTTGCAAAAATGGCTAAAAAATCGATTTCTTCCAGACATATCTAGAAAGATTCCCCTGTTGATGCTGATCAAGAATATTTATGGTTTATGGGGTCGAAAATGATTCCTTGACTTAGAATAATATTATTTTGTATTATAAAATCTGATTTTTTATATTAAAAAACTTCTTGATTATTTTAAAATTAACAAGAAAGGAAGCTAACTTCGGTATGCCGTTGCGTATTGGGTTTGATGTTTATATTATAGATTATAATACTGACAACACTCAAAAAACATTTCATTTCATTTTACCTATACTTATTATGTTTACAGTTTGACAGTTACAGTTTTACATTCCCAGCTTTACATTTTCTCTACATTTACCGATTGGTTTATATGGCAGCTATATGATATAGTTGTCCGATTTTCATAAAATTTTTACCAAAATTCTGAAATAAAATAAAATGGCCATATCTGAAAAATGGTGCCAAAATGTTGATAAACAGTATTTCAAAAACCAAGTAATAAAAACCCTCTAAATACATCGATTCCATCTTTACCAGCAACTACAACCTGAACTAGGAATTTCTTTACCACAAAAACAAAACATTTGGCTAATTTGTCAGAGATTAAAACGGTTATAGTCTCTGATTCTTCGCATTCCTTCTTGGTGTCATCTTCCTGGACTGACTGACTGGACTGGATTTCGTGGAGATCAAAGAAGTCACAGATATTTGTAGAAAATAGGCAGACATTTAGCGGTATGAATATATTCAGATATTATCCATATTATACATATTCATGGTCCCGCAAAAAACTGAAAGAACATGGGTGCTGAGTTCTCGGACATCAATGGGATTTGCAAGGGCTTTTAATATTAAAAAAAAAAATGATATCAGGCCCTGGAATATTTCCAATGTCAGAATTAGGGTGAATTCCGTTTAGTGAATGAATATATTAATTAATCCGTATTTTCTGTAACTTTTTTGGGCCAAAGTAGGTCAGAATTGGTGAAATTTCGCGACTAACGGTTGTTGATTTCCACAGGTATTTCCCCTCTCCAATCCTCAGAAAAGAAACGAATACTTGGGTCAATTTTTAATTTTAAATTCATAAATATTTATTTTTAGTCTATATATATATTTTTTTTGTTTTTTTTTTTTGCCATTTTGCAAAGTCCGCTTGGCAACAGGCCAAGCAGAAATTTCTAAAAAGAAACCGCTTGGAATAAAAGTTAATTTCCATAAGAATGTGCCGAGGGAGAAGTTCAACGGGGTCAATAGAAAAAAGAAATATCAGAAGAGTCACAAAAATCTGAAATCAAATCAGAAAAATAGAAAATCTAAAATGGCAAATCGCTGGACCAACGGGGCATAAAGAAAGCTGCGTTGGCAGATGGCTAATAAATTGATTTAAGCCGGCTTCTGGGCAGGGTCAGCGAGAGCGGTGTGGGGCAAGTTGAAAGTTCATTGCCTTCTCGGGCATTAATTATGGCCAAGCCGATTTCGGCAGGTGCTGACCTCTGCCTCGGGGAATTTATGCATATTTCTGCACACGCCTGAATACGGAATGGTAATAAAAATAATAACCCCGAGTCCCAGTCCCCGAAACCGAATTTCTTTTGTGCTTTTCTACGGCTCGCCACTTGCCTGAGCGTTAACCCCGAATAATTAACGAATCTCCGCGACGATAATGTTGTCAACGTTCTTTGGATTTTTTCGACATTATTTTAGACATTTCATCTATATTTTTTTCACTATTTTTTCTCGTTTTTTCCCATTTCTTTTATATTTTTTGTAGATTTCTTACGCGGCTACTTCAAGTGCTCGCATGTTGGCCCAATAATGTTCCCCTCATTGAGGTCTCCAATCCGGTCCGGTCTCTTGGCGGTGATTATGCGAATTTCCATTGCCGTCAGGGTCCATAATTGACAGCTCTTCATCGCCTCAACGGATCTCATCAGATCTGAGCTCGGCTCGGGACCGATCTTGCTGCTTGATTTGCTAAACGTTCCCTGGGGGTCTTCCAGCTGTAATGAGAGAATCGCTGCCCGTTTTCCCCAGAGTATATTCAGTGTGTGTCTTTGCCGAGAAGCAAAAGCCGTGGAGAAATTAAGAAAATATCTGATGCTAAACTAATTATTCAGTAATCAATGGGAGATGAAAGAGTATTACATTTTAAATTTTATAAGGAAAACTCAAGGGAAATTCTAAGATGTAAAATGTATGGTATTCCCTTAAAAACATATTTTTAAATTCATAAATCTTTGGCTTAGACCCAGCTTTTGTTATCAAAGATCTACTATAAAATTATCAAAATATATGAACTATTTTATACTCTCTAGTGATTTCATTTTAAATAATTAAAATACTTTAGAAGGCTCTCTTCTTAGGCAAAATCTTAAGAATTTTCTTCTACAAAAAATACATCTCCAAAAAAATACACTTAACGCTTCTTTTAGCCATTACTTTTTCTAGAAATCTACGCTTTGAAACTGAATTTAAGCTTTTCCCAAGCTTATCCTTAGCTTCAGTTTCAAATATTCAAAAAAAGTATCTAAGATCTTTACCTACTTTTCAAATAACTCAAGCTGACTGCTAAGAAACTCCGCCAGAGTCCTCTTTCTTTGCATTTTCACACAAAAAGCTAATGGCCACAAAACCCGCGTATCAGGGTTGCCTTCGATCGATTACCATACGCGGGTCAAGCAACTGTACCTACGCCTGATACCGTTAATCGATTCAATATTTTGGAATTAATTAGCCACGACCCCGCACTAAAATTTATGGAAATGGAAATGCAAAAAAAAAAAAGAGAAAAAGAAAAGAAGAGAAGAGAAGGAAAAAATAGCGTTAAATCGGTCAAAGCGCACGGGTCTCATTAATAAGCCATTCATTCCAGGGTTCAGGTTTTGTGGCCCGCGAGGGTCAATGATCTCGCGCCTCGGGATCTATGAGATCTTGGGCTGAACTTTCAACTGGTTAAAAAAAATATATAATAAGTTATTTTTGGCTGTGCTAATCGCAGTTCTTGGCTCTCTCTCTCTCTCTCTGTGGCTTTTTAAGGCATTAACACACACGCAAAAAAAATATAAAAAAATTTATTTCTTTTGGGGTTTTCACTGGGATTGAAAATCGTTTGTTTGGTTTTTTGCTTGTTATTTTTTCATTTTTTGGATTCTTCATTATTTCAAATCATTTCGAGTTCGTTTTGGGTTCGTTTTGCTTTCGGAAGGGGTTTTCTTTTTTACAGAGTTGTAACAGCAGGGACTTGGGGCTCCTCCTGTTTGGGAGCTTCCTCCTTCTTGATTTCCTCCTTCTTGATCTCCTCTTGCTTGATCTCCTCCTTCTGGGCTTCCTCCTTCTTGATCTCCTCCATCTGTGGATCCTCCTTCTTCATTTCCTCCATCTTGATCTCTTCCATGTTGATCTCCTCCTTCTGGGGCTCCTCCATCGGAATCTTCTGGAAAGTGGTCAGGGCCTTGCCCGATGGCTGCTCCTCGGGACTTTCCAGCGATCGTCCGCTCTTCCTAAGGGCGAATCGCCTGTTCTGGGTCAGCAGATCGAAGTAGGGATGGAAATCGCCATAGGACACATAGCGGGCATCGCCATAGGCGGGCTGGACATGTCGGGACAGTCCAGGCTCGTCATCGTCTCCGACAATGATGAACTCTTGCTGCTCGGTGGCTCCCATCTGGGCAGCCGGCTCCGTGGCAGCGGCCGGCATCATTATCTGCTGCTGCTGCTCCTCCTCCTGCTTGACCTCGGTGGCCTCCATGGCGGGCTTCTCCATGGCATCCATGGCCGGCGCCTTCTCTACAATCGTTCCGGGACGAATGCGCGTGGGCAGGACTCCCGAACCGCCGGCCTTCACCGGCTTGGCGGCGATCAGGACGGGCTGAGCATTGATGGGCTTGATTGAGGACGCGCCAGAGGATCCTGTACGGGAGGGTGGGATCTGAGGAGGCTGGAAGATGTCCATAAGGGAGGCATCGGCCAGCAGGGGCACAGCGGAGGCCGTCAGCTGGGGTCGCTTCTTCTTCTTCTGCTGCTGGGCAGCCGATCCGGAGGCGGATCCCCTCACCGGCTGGATGGCGCTCTGGGGAATGTTAAGGATCAGGGGCTGGGCCTGGATGCCCTCGGCCAGGGAGACCACCGACTGCTGATCCGGCGGCGAGAGTCCCAGCTGGCTCCACGGAATAGTGATGTACTGGGTGGGGCGACCCTGGCGCCGCACGGGCACCGTTAGGGGAGGCTGGGGATAGGCACCGGCGGCCGGCATCCGCTGGCGCTGGCCCTGGTAGGCGTAGGGGTAGCTCAGCTGGGCCTGGTTCAGGCCCAGGAGCTCGGGGGCAACGTAGACGGTCTGCCCGTTGCGGTTCACCAACAGAGTGGCCTGCTGGGGACGACGGGTCTGGGCGGAGCCGGAGGTGCGGCGCAGCTTGGAGCCGACCTCGGCGGGGGTCTGGCCGCGGGTGAACTGCCGGATCTGGCTGATCAGGCTCTGCTGGCCGCGCTGGATAAAGTTGGGCTGGTTCTGGGAGCGGCGCGTCGAGCTGGAGGAGCCGAAGATCGGCTCGGGCAGGAAGCCCTGCTCCTGGCTGTCGTCGTCCTGCACCGCCTCTTCCTCGTCATCATCGTCCTCGTGCTCGTCATCCTCCAGCTCCTCCTCGTCGTCGGAGTCCTCGGGCACCTGGACGGGCTTCTTCTGGGCCTTGGTCTTCTTGTTCTGGCTCTGGCTCTGGCGACGCTTGTGGGTCACTACCGGGGCCACCTCCTCCTGCTCCTGCTCCTGCTCCTGCTGTTGGGGCTTCTGCTGCTTCCTCTTGGGCTTCTGGGCCGCGGCCTGGGTCTGCTTGCGCTTGGGCTTTTGCTGGGGACGCAGCTCCAGGGAGTCCTCGTCCTCGAAGTGCTCCAGCGACAGGTCGTCCTCGTCGTCGTCGAACTCCTCATCGAACCTGTTGCCCTGGAAGTAGTCGTCCTCGTAATAGTCATCCTCGAACGAGTCCAGGCGGTTGTTGAAGCGGTTGGGACGCTGGCGACGCCTGTTGCCGTTTCCATTTCCGTTTCCGTTGCCATTGCCATTGAAGTTGCCGTTTCCGTTTCCGTTTCCGTTGCCCCGACGGTTGCCGTTCCTCGATGGCCTCTGCTGCACCCTCACCACAATGTCCGGCTTCTGGGTGCTGGTCTCGGTGGGAGCGGCAGTGGTCGAGCTGGTCTGCACCGGGGTCTCCACGAAGCTCGGCAGCTGCTGGCCCAGGCGATCGTTGATCCAGCCGGAGACGGAGCCGGCCAGGGTGGAGAACGAGGAGCCCAGCTGCTGGGCGGGATTCATGCCGAAGAGCCAGGTGCTCGGGGCAGCGGGAGTGCTGGCAGCCGGCGTGGCAGCCTGCTTGCCCTGAATCTCCTCCAGAGAGGCCTGGCGCGGCTTAAAGGCGATCAGTGGATGAATGATGAAGTCGGCCACCGTGTGGGTCTGTCCAGGCGCCGCAACCGGGGCCACGGGCACAGGTGCTGCTGCCTTTTCCATGCTAGCCACCGCCGCAACGGGGGGCTTCTCTGTGGGCGACTTGGGCGCCATGGGCGCATCCTCTGCTCCACACACAAATCAGGGGCATCACCGGGGGGGTTCACCAGATCACAGAAAAAAAAGCGCACACCACAAACAAAACACATGAAAAAAATTGATTGGGAAGGAGAGGGGGAAGAGAAACACAGGCAGAGATTAATAAGGGGGTTCGGGGGCAATCCGTCGGAGCTATTGCTAGGGATCCTACCAATCAGCGCCATATCGGCGATGGGCGACTCCGTAGACTGCTCCACCTCCGGTGCCGGGGTGACGGCCGCCGCCTTCGCCTGGCCAAGGGCCAGGATCAGGACCAGGCACAGCCACTGGCCCACCACGAACTTGGTCATGGTTGTCGCTGGTCGGGGGCAATCACTGGGTTGGTTGGGTCGCTCCGCTGTCTGTCTCACACGAACTCGCACTCGCACTCGCACTCGATCTTGGCCAATTCCCACTTGTAGCGATTCTTCTCGAGTCCCAATTCTCAGGCTCGATCTCGGTCTCGATGGCTGGGGGTCCACAGATAGACGTTTCTTTTGCCGAACTGTTTGGGCGAGCGCCGCGACCCGAGCTTTTTATGTGCCGTCTACAATCGTTATTGAAGAATCGCTGCGGAGAAAGAGCGTTGTGGGATCTGCGGAGAGTCTGCGCGACTCTGTGATTCTGCGGGCCTTTGGGCAAAGCTCCCTCTCTCTCTCTCTCTTGGTCTCTTGGTGTCTCTCTTTCGCTCTCTCGAGCTGGGGGGCTGTAAATCAATTTGCGGTTTCTTGACCGCCGGCCAAAGATTTCAGGTCGCAGGTCGCAGGTCGCAGCCCCCGAACGGTTTTAGAATATTTCAAAAAACAAGTTGGGCCCTGGAATAAAACGCAGTCGTAAAGCGGTCTCAGTTCCGTTGCCAAGTCAACTTTGAAAATATTTGTTCAACTAGTTTATTGCAGTTTATGGATTCTATTTTTGAATTATTTTTTTTTATTTTATTTGGTAAACTGAAGAAAAGGGTTTCGAGTAAACAAGGAGCTCTGGTTTTTACCAATTTAGAAAATAAGTTTTAGCCAATTTTATTGTTTAATTTATTCCTGTTTTAAGCTTTCTGTAGGCCATAAATAAATAATTCCTAACGGAGACATTTTTGACCCGATCATCATGAGCTGGCTTTTTGTTAAAGAGCTTGTTCGTTTTTCGGTCAGTTTCTATGATATTTACTAGTCAATTTTATGATTTATCAACTCGAGAATATGTATTTATTATTATAAATACATTTTTGAGAATTTTTGTTTTTAGAAAATGTTTACAATTTAAAAACAAAAATTTTCTAATAATTTCAAACTTACTTTGAAGCCATAGATTTAAGTTTTAGTTAATATATAGGCATTATTCTATATATTTATATAATATCTATGCTACATTATACATTACTCTATATCATTTAATTTTATTATTCTTCGTTGTTAATTATTTTGAGCTGTGATTTATATAAGTCGAATTATTATTTTAAATATACAAAGATTAAAACTTTTTAGATTTTAAAAATTTCAGTTTGCAAGGAACTTTTTCAGTTATTTTAATTTTTATTATTTGTAAGGATATTTAAACTCATAGATTTGATAGTTTTAAGAACACCAAAGCTGTTGAAAAGTTCCTATATTTTTTAAGTGAAGAACCATATTCCTGTAGCTATATATTTACCCAATAGTTTACCAGTTTTCTGTTATATTTAAAAATCCCTCTTTAGGGTATCACATATTTCAGCCAAAGCTTGTTGTGCTTTAAGATACTTTAGAAATATAAATTAAAATATTATATAAAAATATTAAAATAATAAGTATACTCATAAAAATGTTTATTTAAAATTGCTTCATGTTTAGAAATTCACTCTTAAGAAGTAGCCAAGGGAAAGTAGCCCTATATTTGAGAAAATCTTTCTTAGTTTTGGGGCTATGTGACCATATTTTTATGAGTGTACATATATCTTCTAGCCTTCAATTTATTTAATTAATAGTACAGTAGTTATAATACAAAAGTTACCTTATAATAAATAAATAAATAATTTTAATTAATTAATTAATTTAGCTTCAAAATCCAATTTAATACAAATAGCTTTACTTTTTTCTCTTTTCTGTTTCCACTTAAAAATTAAAACCAACGAATCTTTGTTCAAAATGATAATACAAAATAATTAATAATTGGTCTAGAGAAATGTAGATCCCCCTTGAACTTTGGTGGATGAGTTTTCCCTTGGCGATTTCTTTCCGTCGAAAGTGGATCATTGTGCTAATTCTGGGAATCTTTTTGCAGCCAAGATCTAAAAATATAACTTTCCCTATTAACTTTCCAATATATATATACATATATGTCCGTGCTGACCCCGCATCCGAGGTGTCGAGATGAGGTGACCCCGACTTGGGGGGTCAACTTTCTTCTTTCGCCATAAACCATAGGAACACACACACACAGACAGACATGGACACACGCACACCCATACAGTTGGCTAATGAGTATTTATGCTTTTTTTATGCATTTCCATTAGCATGAAACGAACGGAGTTGGCGCGGATCTTTTTCGCGCTGCGAGGCCTCAAAGCTAATGAATACACGGCGTTCCTACTTCTGAACCTCCTCTGCATAATTTCGTTATTAAAACATTTGTTTATGTCGCCCTTAATGGGCCGCAAATATGTTGGGGCGGTTATTTGAGGTCGTTTCTATCATCATTACAGCAGCCCCGCCGCCACCGGTAGCACTGAAAAATTTAAATAATTGCCAACAGCAAATCCATAATTAGATAAGACACTCCGTCGGTTCCTACATTAAAAAAATAAATAGAAAATAAATCATAAAATCAATAAATTGTTTCGATTTCCGGTCGCCAGGATTCAATCACTTGAGAAGAAAGCCCAAGAAAATCTTTCGGATCGCTCAGCTTGGAAAAGTTTGGCTTAGCTGTCAAGCTTGAAATTTGATGAAGCTTTTTTTCGTTACGGTACAGTGCGTCACAAAATAATATGGTTGAATAAGTTGTGGATATATAAGAGATTACATTTTTTTTCAATAAAAGCTCAATTTCTTTATTTATAATTTTAATATGTTTGGGAATATGTTTTTAAATCAAATAAAGTTTTAAAATACAGAGTTACGTTTGCTATTTCTAGCTTTATTTGAGAAATATTGTGGAAAGAAAAAGTATATATATAATTTACTATGCATTCTTAATTACAAATCGAAGGGGTATACAATCTTCGGCGTAAGAAGATAGTTTCCCCTCTTGTTTTTTTGTATTAATTTAGTATTAATTAAGAACTTAAGTAGCCAGTTAAGGAGTTTCTTTGTTAGCAAAATAAATAATTTGTACCCTTATTTTAAAATTTTCTAAATTGCCAAAATTAAGGAAAAAATATTTTTTACCTGATGCTGGTTTGTTAAATTAACAAAAATTATCAAAGAAAAGCATTCCTGTTTTAATTAACTTTTAATTTAATTTTTTCTACATTTTTAACTACTGCCTTCTTTAAGCTACCACATAATACTGCCTTAAAACAGCTTCTTTAAGCCCAGTTAATTAATTTCCTTGATTATTTTCTGATACAATATTCCCTAAGAGCTTTCTTGTTTCTCATAGAAATGAATTATATATGGTCTTTTATAATAAATAGCTGGTTATTGGCTTTGTTACCCGAACAATGCCATAGAATAGGCCAACAATAAGGCCAGTTTGTTGTAAGTCATTAGGAATCATAGTTATAGTTTGATGGGTTAACCCTCTCTATGGCTGGCACCAAGTAGCACCGCCTTTTTGTATAAGAATGGGCTTGAAAAGAATACATTTCCATGGACCCGATACATTTTGATTGATTTAAATGTCCGCTGCCCGGTATTGGGAACACACGAAGGCGAGCCCTGAGCCCTGACCCTGCCTCGGAGGGAGGAGCCTGGGACAGTGACAAATGTCTCGCAGCCATTTCTGGAAGCTGAAAGACTTATTGAGAATCTCACTTTTGACCCCAAAAATAAAAATTGGCTCAAAAACCCAGCCGGCTGGGCCATTTGCTATTTTCTTCTTGTGTTATTTTTTGTATCGTATTTTCGAGGCGACCCAAAATGCAAATTTCGGGGCAAATTAGCCAACAAACAGGGGGCGGGCGGGGGAGGCGGGAGTGAAGGAAACTGCAACTGCGAATGGACTTCTTGGTCTTGGAAATGGATATGGAAATGGAAATGGAGTCAACGTTCTGCGGGGGGGGGACTCTATGTTGTTCTGTTTTCGGTTTCTGGTTTCTGGTTTTTCGATTTTTGGTTTTTGGCTTTTGGTTCTTTGGCCCGAAATCCGTGCATAAATCAGTCGAGCATTTGCATAGTTTAATAATTGGCCAATCGGCCTGCAGACCATTCTTCTTCTCACCCCCTTTCCAAAAAATCCAATCCCAATCCAATCCCATTCTGCGTTCTGTCCGCGTCTTCTGGCTGGCGAAATTTCTATTGTCTTCTCGGGTGATTTTTATGTGTCTCTGTCGTCTCGTTTCGCCATCCGGTGAATGTGAACGTTCCTCCCATGTATAAAATGTCTTGCCGGGCACTTGTTGAACCATTTAATAGAGTCACTCGCCCAGCGACGCACCAAGGTCCAAGTCCAAGTCCCAGTCCCCAGAATCCATCTAGGCTTCCAGCATCCCCGTCATTATGGCAATTAAGTTGGCAACTCTTCTGGCCATTGGCCTGGCTCTGTTGGCCCTCAGCGAAGGTGAGTTAGAGGTCGCTGGCTTCGGGACAAGAGCTATCAGTAATCTCTCCGATACGATCATTATCGAATAACCCAGCTGGCAATCATTAGTTAAAAGCTTGAAATTGAAAATATATAATTTATAATCCACAGCCCGTCATGTTCCTGGACACCGGCGCCAGCACTTTGGACAGCGTGCCCTCATCGCCAAGCCCCATGCCGGTCCCCAGGGACGCGTCTTCCCCGGAGCGGTGGCCATCAAGAAGCTGGTCCTGCTGAAGTTCAAGAAGATCGTACCCATCTCCCTGATCCTGCTGAAGTCGAGCAACGAGAACGAGGCCGAGCTGGTGCCCGTCTATCCCACCGATCAGATTCCCGAGAATGTCCAGTTTATTCCCACGCCCAACGGCATCTCTGGCCACAAGGACGTCCAGGCCATTGCCATTCCCAGCGAGCTCCATGACCAGCTCCAGATCAACGGTCTGTCCAACCTGGAGAACATCGAGGCCCTACTCCAGAGCAGCTCCATTTCCTCGGCCGACCACGAGGGCGATGCTCCCGTTGGCAACAGTATTGCCGTGGCCCAGCCCGAGGATCTGGTCCTGGACCAGCCCGAGAACGATGAGGATCAGCTGCTGGAGGGCGTTGCCTCCGCCAGCCCAGTGGCAGCATCAACTCCGGTCGCCGCCCCAGCCCTGCGTCGTCTCTCCGCCGACGAGCTGCTCCGCTCCGGAGTGCGAAACTCCGCCCAGCAGCAGCAGACCAGCGTGGAGGAGATCCCCCTGCTGCTGTACTCCGCCAACGATGGCTCCGTGTCGGTGTCCGGCTCCGGCTCGGGTATCTCCGGCCGTCGCTTTGTGGCCGCCACCCCGGCCCTGCGTCGTCGCCAACAGCAGTACTTCAACTGAGGAGGCGCAGCTCCCAGGACTAGGATCTAGGCTAGCGCCCACCACTTTTATCCTCCGACTTCCCCCTACTCCCCTCGATGGCTGTCACACGGACTTCACTGTACCACTACCACTGGCAATATTTTTTTTTTAGACTGAACTGAATATAAATTAACGTTATGAGCGAAATGACAAAAGGGGCGACATGTGCTTCCGGGTGGGAAGAGAGTCTCAAGCGGCTCCTGTTCCTGTTCCTCTTCCTGTTTCGTGTACACTGAGAGAAGCCAGCAGAAATCTGATGGAAGGACTCTTGGTTTTTTGGAGTATATATTTTCCTCGGGGACCAACAATTTCTCCGCCTGTTCTCGAGTGGGTGGAATGTCCTTGTTTCGGGAATGCCGCTTATCAGGCGACTGCAGTTATCAGGCCTTTGTGCTCGGGCTTTGTGCCGCTGACGTGACATGTCCTGTGTCTGTGCCTCAGTTTCGGTTCCAGGATCAGCCCCGGTCCCAGTCCCAGTCCCAGGCTCAGTCTCAGTCTCAGTTTCAGTTTCAGCCTCGCCGCTGATGTCCTCGTGTGTGGCAGCCTGCCAGCAAATTTTTAGCCAGGCCAACAAACAAAGCGGCCACAAAACACATGGCACAAATTTTGCTTAGGCGCAAAAGTCAACGGCACAAGAGGCCCGAAAAGAAAACCCGGGCCAGGGCGCACAACAAAAGCGAAACAAAGATGGGATACGTTGGCCTGGGATTCCTCTAGAAGGCCACGACGAGGGGAATACCCTTTAAAGTCGGGAAAGAGGTTTCTAAAATTAATTGCATACTTTCCGGCGGCTAGAAAAAAATCTGTGGGTGTGATCTAGACTTGAAAATGTCTGATGAAACTATTGAAATAAACTTTTCCTCAAGGTTTATTCAAGTAAAAAATATCTTAAAATATTGTTTTTAATTTTTATCACTTTGTATTATAAGAATGTATTGAATAAGTTAATTTTTAACCTAATTATTAAAGTACTTCTGCCTCAACAGAAGCTGTTCTTGTGGCTTATTAGAAAATGTACTTCCTCACTCCCAGGGTATCACTACATTATTTCCTTCTTAGGGCAATCGCCTATACCCCACGACAACCACCACCCACCCCCCTCCCTGTCGTGTGTCTTATTTGCCGCATTTTTGACAGCAAAAGCCTCGTTCCCGCCGGCGTCTCCGTGTCTCCGTCCCCTTTTCACTGAGATTATGCAAGCGTTTTCCAAATTAGCCAGGCGTAGGGAATGCAAACAAAAGGGACTTTTCCGTTTTGTCACATTCGAGAGTCTACTTTTCCGAAACTTTAACAATGCAGTTTGTTAGCACACAAAAAGTCTGCCGGCAGTCCTGGAAATTAAGTGTACATTTTTACCTCAGCGATTTGTAATTTAAGAGCAAAGTAAAGAGCAACTTGATGGCAAGAACTTGTACAAATAAACGCAAGTTGGTTGGTAAAAGTTGTATTTATTTTTTTTTTTTAATGGCTTAAAAAAGTACAAAGTGTTTCTGAGTTTAGCTTTAAAATTGATAGAAGGGTATGTTATTTATTACTAACATCAAGAGCTCCTCGTCAGCGTCCATAGTAGGGCGGCGGCACATAGATCACCTTCTTGCCGTTGCCGTTGCCGTTGCTGTTGTTGTTGTTGTTGTTGTACAAGCGGCCACAGGGCGGCGGGCCGTAATAGGTGTAGGTGCAGACGGTGCAGCAGTTAATGGGCGTGGCCACTACCACCACGGGCGTCTTGTTGTTGGGATACAGAGGGGGATAGAGGGGCATGGGTGGTGGTGGCGGCGGCGGCGGTGGCGGTGGAAGAGGTCGAGGTGGCGGATAGGGCCGCACGGGAGTGCAGCAGCTCTGCGGTGGCGGTGGAGGTGGAAGTGGAGGTGGCGGTGGATACGAAGGATACGAAGGATCCACCACATATGTCTCGCAGCAGGTCTGCTTCTGGAAGGCCTCCAGGGTGCAGGGCGAGACACAGGAGTTGAAGAGGCCCGTAATCCAGTCGTAGATCACGCCAAAGGTACGACCCTGGCGCTGGGTTGTATCGTAAGGCCCAAAGGCCTCCACCGAGGTATTTAGGGAGCTCAAGTCCGAGCCGGAGCCGGACTCGAGGTCCTCCAAGCGCGAGGAGCTATTGAAGTATACGTACTCAAAGTTGTCATTGATGGAGGAGCTGCTGGAGGAACTTCTAGGGGAAGTGTCACTCCCATTTAGGGACTTGGGTCTCCAGCGTTGCAGACGAACCTGTTGCTGTGCCCGATGGCGAACTAGAGGGGTTTAGAATATGACGGGGAAACAAAAAGTCCAAGGTTAGATTATCTCTAAACATCCTTCAACAACAATTTACAACACTCAACAACATTAACACTCAACAACTATAAGCACCATTTTTAACAACATTTAACACTCAAAATTGCTCCTGGAATTTCGATTCAACAATTTCGATTTGATATCAACAGTGCCAGCCAAAAGCATGGTGCAACCAGTGCCGTGTAAATTAACGAAATGCATTCTTTATTCTCGTGCTTGCGCGGGTGACAAAAAAAAAGAAGGTGTTGGTTTTTTTTTTGGAGCTCTTAAAAAATGTGTACAACTAACGTCCATAAAAGCCGAAGCCACCGCCAAATCCACCAAAGGCATTGCTGTTGGCATTGGCGCCTCCGCCGCCACCGAAACCACCGCCATTGGCGCCGGCATTCGCCCCGGAACCACCCCCGAAGCCACCGCCGCCGGCATTGGCATTGGCGTTAGCATTGGCCGACTGTCCATTGGTGGCGGTGGCCGTGGCACTGCTCGAGGCCGAGTTGCTCACAAAGCCGCCGGGTCCCTTCTGGGAGCTGGTCTGGGCATTCGTCAGAGCCGAGGCATCACCCTGGCCATTGTTGCCCTGGAAGATGCTCTGGCTGTTGGCATCACTGGTGGCGTCCTGCCGGTTGCCATCGCGCACCACCTGCGAGTTGGTGTTGGCCGTGTTCGTCGACTGGCCGAACTGGTTGTTGTTGGTGGCCGTAGAGCCGCTGTTGGAGGCGACAGTGTCCCGGCCGCCCTGCTGCGTGTGCTGCGTGTTGGCATTGGCACTGGAGGCCTGCTGCTCACCCGGCCTGAAGTTCAGCGCCTGGCTCTGCGAGTTCTGGCCGCTCTCGAAGCCGCCAGCCGTCTGGCTGTTGTGTGTGTTGGTGTTGGCGGAGCTCACCTGGCCGCTGCTACCGTCCTGGGCCAGGTTGGAGCTGATGCTGCTGCTGCCGGTGTTGCCGGGACTGGCGTGGTTATTCGTAGAGGCCTGCTGGTTGAATCCGGGTCCACCCTGGGCATTGGCATTGCCATTGGCCTGGTTCTTGTTGCCCTTACGCTGCGGCTGCTGCGGCTGCTGGAAGCCTCCAAAGCCGCCATACTGGGGTCCACCGCCGAACTGGCCTCCTCCGAACTGGGGTCCGCCAAAGGCAGGACCTAGGGAAGGCATCAGCTTGAAAAGTCTCAATAGCTTTCGGTATATATTTGCTTACCTCCTCCGAAACCGCCAAAGCCACCGCCAAACTGGCGACGGGGCCTATCCAGGCCCACCGCAAATGGACCTGGTCCAAAGCCGCCTTCCGGATAGCCAAAGGGCACGAACTGGGCCCTCCTCTTGGGCCGCCTGTAGGCCACCGGCTGCTGGCGCACCACGCGCTGGAAGGGACCGCCAAAGGTCTGGCCATTGGTGGCGGCATTGCCACCGAATCCTCCCGTGCTGGCCGAGGTCTGGCCGCGTCGCGCCTTGCCGAAGGCATTCGAGTTGGAGCGCGTGTCCGTCACGGTGACGCCACCGTACTGCTGCGTATTCGACTGCGTGTTGCTGGAGGAGCCGGCCTTGACTCCCTTGCCCTGGGCATTCACCTGGGCCTGCGACAGGGTGTTCGAGTTGGCCACGTTCCGGTCCAGGTCCAGGTTGAGCACACCCAGGCCAAGGCGCAGGTCGCCATCGGCTCCCCGCTGCAGACCGAAGCCGTTCTGGAGATTCTGTGGCGACAGGGAGGCCCCTAGGCCAAGGTTACCGATCCTGAACTGATTGGCCACGCCCTGGGACACAGCTCCGTTGGCGTTTGTTCGCGACCTGGTCAGCGTGTTGCCGATCTGCAGGCCCCCAAGGTCGATGTCCCGCGTCTGTGCCTGGCTGTTGGTCACCACTCGCTGGCCATTCTGCTTGGTTACCGCCCGGGAGTTGGACAAGCCCTGGGTGTACTCCACATTGTTGCCAAAGTCCACCTGCCGCTCGTAGGCATTTGTGTTGGCCTTGGAAACGGATCCCTGGCGCTGGCGGGGCTGCTGGTAGGCCTGCGGCTGCTGATACACCTGTGGTTGGTAAACCTGGGGCTGTTGATAAACCTGGGGTTGCTGATACACCTGAGGCTGATAAACCTGCGGTTGTCTATAAACCTGAGGTTGATAAACCTGAGGCTGCTGGTAAACCTGAGGCTGGTAGGCCTGAGGCTGATAATATTGCGGCTGTCTATATACCTGTGGCTGGAATCCGAACTGCGCCTCAGCTGGAAGTGAGTTAATATAAATTGTTGAAATTATAGAACTCATCTTGAGTTGAAATAATGAATAAAATGCAGAATAATTGAGAGAAAAACTCGATGAAAATTTACACAAGTCAAAGATTGTTCTTTTTACAAAACTTGTTCTACTTTTAGTTCATGTTCTCTTTTCCTTTTTATTTTATTTTCTTTCTTTATATTATTTTTCTCTTTTTCCCTTTTAATTATACTTTTTAGTCTTAATGTTCTTTAATTTTTCATTGTTTTTTTATTCGAAAGATCGCACTAAAACGAAAGAGATGGCTGGAGAGCTGGTTTCTCAAAAGAAGAGAGATGGAATTTGTTTATTAGAAGATCCAACTGGTTCTTATAAGGCTTTCAATAATTTGTTTCTGTAAAAGATGATCTTCAAACTGGTATTCAAAGGCAGATGTCCAAATGCTAAATAATTTAAAATTCTAAATGATTTTCTATTAAGAACTGATCTTTATCTAGATTAAATATTGATATTGTATGATTATAATTTGCAAATTGTTAATAAAAATTAAACAGTTTTCTTATAAATTTAAAATTTCAAACACTTTATGGTGCTTTCAAGTAACAACAGTAAATGCGAATTCCGATCTGCCAAAGCCCGTGTTTACCTTATCAAATATGGCTTAATATGTGCCTCCGCAAAAACCCAGAGCAACCTTTAAGCCGCAATGCAAAATCCTATTTCAAGCCCCCCCTCCCGGACACAACACATACCACACACACTCCCTCTGTAGCCTACTCTTTCTGTCAATCCTATTTCTTTCCCTTTCGGTTTAGGAAAGAGTCCTGGCCCTGTTTTCCAGAGTTGACAATGCATTGCACGTAGGCGGAAAATCCAGCGATAATTTTGCAATTATTGCTGTAATAACAAAGCCCCCAGCATGTCAATGTATGCACTGAGCCAAATATATATGTAAATTATATCAAAATAAAAGCACTTAATATTTTAAGAAGTTTTTGTTTATCAATTAGAGATATATATGATATATATATTAGATATGATACCACTCAACTCTTAACTCTCTTCTTCAGATTTTATTTGTGTTGATCAAACCCTCCCTAGTTTTTTCTCCCAGTGCATGCGCCCCTGTATGCGTACGGGTATATATCCTGTCATTATCCTGTCTATGTGGCGTATTCCAAAAATATTTACCTTGCGGTTGACAAACTGCCAGCCAGCACACAATTAATCCAACAAATGCGTGTCGCATCCTGGCTCTCCGTATCCGTATCCGTATCTGCGTATCCGCGCTGCTGCTACCGTATTCCCGTACTCCGTGCTCCGTGCTCCGTACACCGTATGCCGTATTCCTCAATCCGTATTCCGTTGCCGTAGTGCCCTCTCCGCCGTTGCGAAAACAGCGCACGCAATGAAATGAGCGCGTTTTTGGCCGCTGGCCGACTTTTATTGTCTCTCCGACCGTGTATTTTTGCGGTCTCGTCGCCGTTGTCGTTGTCGATGTTCAGTTTGTTGTTCCTCCAGTTTGCCGTCACCTCTCACAACACAGAAAAAAAATGTGTAAGCTTGGGACTCGCGTAAGGGCCGTTTTTTTCAGGGAAATGGATAAAAATAACCGATTTTGAAGGCCAGAAAATTCAACAGCTTTCCTAGAAAATATATTTGTATTTTTTGGAAAAGGACTTTATTTATATTAATGGTGTTTTTATTTATTTTTAATGAAAGGAGACGCTTTTTAAAATTGTTTAAATTATTTTAAGAATTTTTCTTTGAGGTTAATTATCACTTTTTAACATGTTTTTTGTGTCCATCAAAGTTTCAGCCAAATATGTTTTGTAAAAAATTCTAAAAATATTTATTTTAGGTTTATAAATATTATTAACCAGATCTTAATATAAATAATTCATTTTCACATTTATTTATCTCCTTTTGGTTAGTTAAAAAAAAAATACAAAAAATTAAAACAATTAAATTGTAAGCCACCAAAAAAAAAGTCACGAAGTAGGAATAGAAATATATAAATATAATTTCCAGCGCCACTGTTAAAATTCGTTTAAAAACTCTTTTATTTTCGCGGTGTACCTCTCTTTATCTCTAGCTTTTTCGGGTTTTTATTTTGTTTTTATTTTAATTTTTTTTTGGTTTTTTTATTTTTGGAAGAGCGCGTTTGAAGTTGGTTAGAGTCGGACGTTCCGTTTCGTTCTAAGCCCGCTGCCGGTTTGGTAATCGCGCTTTAAACTAATCAATAATTAACGCCCGACTTGACGTCCAGCCGTCAACACGCCCATTGTTCGGCTACGCGGAGACCCCAAAAAAAAATCACCGAATTCACGTAAAACTCGTTTCGGAGAGGGGAATAAAATAACACTTTGGCTGATCACTGTTAGACTTTGTCTGTATGTTCGTTTGTTTTTTAATTTTTTTTTTCCTGTTTGGATCACAAGATTTGAGATTTTCTCTAAGCCTTTCCAGGGGGTTTTTTTTGGCGGGGGAATCGAAGGCTTAGCGATGGATCGAGGTATATATTTGAATCACTTAAGATAGAAAGTCCCAAAAAATAATACGAGACGGGGATTCTTATATAAATATTATTATTATTTTATACAAGATAAAATGGTGAATGATACATAAAAGAAGAAAGCTAAAATTTATATAATATTTATAATATTTTAAAATATATTTAATATTTATTTTCTTATTTCAAACTCCTTGTAGTTAACTGATCCTTGTTCCTGCCTACTTCTGAAGATTGTTCAAATACAATTGAAGAAAAACAGAAAGATTATGTAAATTTGGCGACTTAAAGGTGTTTTAAGCGTGGCTAATAAATAAATATGCAAATTAGAAATAAGAGATGATGGAAAAAAAGCTTTAAAAAATATTTACAAATATATACAATGATATATCCAGAAATACAAATAGTTTCAAATACTTTTGCCAATCATTGAGTCTCGTCTGTAATCATTCTGGGAATAACCCATCATCGACCCTCACATGAGTGAGTATTCCGTCTGGGTTTAGTCTTCAATTTCCGCTAATATCTCGCTGAGGCGACTCTATCATCGCCATGGTCAAGTTTTTTGAAGTTCAACGTCAATGTACGCGCTGTAGGTCAGTTGGAATACCCTCGTCTCTCGATTGGAACACCTGCCGGAGCCCCTGTCCTATCCCCTACGAAAAAAAAGAAACCAGTCTCTACTCGGAGGCTTTATATTTTTTACATTTTTCCCCATCTATTGACAAAAGTTTTTAGCAGCCATTTGATGGGGTGTGGAGGGGCGGAAGGGGTCCCAAAAACCCGTCCCGAGAACAACGTGTCCATAAAATTAAGCGAGCAGGTTCTAACTAATGAACCAGTGGATACATTTTGTATCTTTCGCCGGCGCTGCTTCCCTTTATGAATTAATTGAGCTGCTAAGCAAACAGCAAACAGCAAATAACAAATAACAAATACTAAACAAAGCAAAGCCAATTGGATTTATAGTCATTGTGGATAATGATGTACATATACTCTCCAGATATTGGCTCTTTTTCGGATTTTGCCAGGGCTCTCGTTTCGTTTGCAAATCGAAATTTGTACACTGCAAGAAATGGCCATTGAACGGTAACAACGACGAGGCCACAGTAAATTGGGTCGGCACACCACTCGCACACAGACAGGAAAACTTTCGCCAGAGGCGGGGAGAGCGTGAAGGGGGCGAGTGTACACTGGGAGAAAATTTTGATACACAAAAAGGTGGAATATTCAATAGTTGTTCTTGGGATAATTTTAATAATTATTATTATTTGAAAAAGAATAAATATTAATAATAATTCCCATTTAATAAATATAGCAAACTGGATTATAAAATGGTTTATACATATATGTATATACATATAATTTAAAAAATATTTATAAAAACTTAATCATAATTAAAGCCAATTTCCCCTTTTAAAAAATATAAAAATTCCCGAAGAAACATATTTTTAGTAGGTGAACTTCAATTTTATTCAAAAATAAATTCCATACTATTTCTAAATAAAATCTTCTCTATTTTCAATATTTTTTATTTAGGCTTCAAAACGTGTGTTTTTCCCCAAGTGTTTGTGTGCGAAAGGGAGAGGACTTAACTTCAGTTTGGTGTTCGATATAAAAAATTGGTTTTTATTGTTATTTCATTTCTAGCGTTTATCGGTCTGGCGGCATCTTTACGCTGACGATTCTGTCCCCCTTACCCCCCAGTCTGCCCACGCCCCTGCCCCTCCCCTACTGAGTGATTTTCCCCCTCCCGCCTTCCGTTCTAGCCAGCAGATTTTATGGTTCTGCCTTGAACGCGTGAAATGGAGTAGAAAAATTGTTTTTCTATCAAAGGCAAAATATCGCAGCAAACTCTCAACATGAAGCCCCCTTTGAAAATCCCCCGGAATTTTTTTTTTTTTTTTTCGCCGATATCACGCTGGACGCCCCTGGCTTTCTCTCTCGTTTTTAGCAATTTAATGCCAGAAACTTTAACTTTTTTGTAACTTTTCCTTTTTCATACCCTTGCAGGGAATTATAATTTTGGTTAGAAGTTGGCAAAGCAAAGAAGGAGTCATTTCTGACCCTATAAAGTATATATATTCTAAACCTAAAACATATATAAGTTGCCTTTCAGCAAGACAGATCTAAACTCCTCGAAACAAGCAATAAAATAAATTTAACAAATTAATTAAAATATTCTAAAAACAATTCCCCAAAAATACAACAATTTACCACACGATAAAAATATAAAAAATAATCTATAAAAATACTTTATTTTTTACAAATTATTTTCCTCTTTTTAATATAATTTTAATATATTATTAATTATCTAATCACAATCTAAAAGGGCATACAAATTCAGTAGGGCCACAGTTAGCTTTATTTCTTTTTTGTTTTTTCACTTTTTTTTTTTTTGTTTAGTTCGGTTTGGTTTTTGGTTTCTGGGTTTCTCGATGTTGTTGATGCCACTTGTCCTCCAAACGAAACTGTCTGACTTTGATTTGTGCTGCTAATTGGAGTTTCATTTGCTCAAGGGGCCCTGGCGGGGGTGTGTGCTGGGTGGGAGCGGGGCCAGTTTCCGGGGAAGGTGAACTTCGCGTCCTAGTTTATTTGAATTCAGCTCTGAGGGCTCTTCTTTTCAGAGCAAGTTCACTTTAATTACATCTCTGGTTCCCCCTTTCAGAGTCCAGTTGAAGTTTAAACGGGGAATTTGGGTAAGAAACCGGCAAGTCTTTTATATTTACCTACATTCGGCAAGGAATTGAATAGAGTTTTTGTAAGAAACCAAAGATCTTAGAGTTGAAACTCAGTTGAGAAGTTGTTTTACCGTAATATTGAACTAAGAAAATCTTTATAAATATTTTAAATCAATTAATTAAAGTTATATATTACAAATTAGTTAATGTGTGTCTTCTAAAAAGTAAGCTAGAAATAGCTGACAACTCTTAATTGTTCTTTTAGTTTTGGCTCCTTGAAGATGCTCCTTTTCTCTTTCCCTCCTGATAAGTATTTTATGATAATTTGTTTTGACAAATTTTTCCAAGTTGAAAATTTCGTTAGAGGCAAAAGTTTTGGCGGGATACAGTTACACTTGAGGGGAATCTGCATTTTGCATTTTGCATTTTGCATTTGGCATTCGGCGAGCCATATGTTTGTCTTGGGCTGCCACATACACATATGCTGCCCGCTCCTTGTTCTCCCGGCTGCAGTGTTTGTTTTCAGTTTCAGTTTATTGCCGGCGCGTCTGCATTGCGTCTTTTGTTATTATTACATTTTCATAAATGCAAAAGGATACGGAGGCGCACACACACTCACACACGTGGCGAGGAGCTGCTTGATAAGTTCCGTAAAGTTTTTGTCTGCCATGCGGCTCGTTAGCTGCCACTATACCCTGTCCCTGTCTCCGTTTTCTTCGTCCTTGCTGTGGCTTCCGGTGGCATCCTTTGGCCCCTTGGAACTCAACCCCCTGGTTGTGCGTGAAAAATTGCCTTCAACTGCAGCGTTGAAATAAGATATTTCAATTTTGTATTGTAATTTCAGAACTTAAAATGTAATTTTTGAAGACATAAGGGAGTCCATTGTGTGGAGCCCTCGCTGGCGTCTCCCTCAGCCTTTCGCCAGCTCTCCTTTATGTCCTTTTTCCTTTTGACTTGGGCTCCTCTAACTTCAACGTCTTTCGAACTGAACTGTTCAATAAATATGAGCCCAGCCACTGAAAGAAAAAACTGGACATGAATGGGGGAATTCTTGAAATAATTTCATAGAAAATATATTTGAAATTTCGTTTTACTAGATTTTCTTTATATTTTTTCCAAGACTTGACTAGTTTTTCTTTCAGTCTCTTCGCTTTTTGTGTCTGTACTCCCCCGCCACCCTCAATTGTTGCTTCACTTTGGGAAATTATGCAAACAGGCCAAAAAACGTTGGGACCCTAGACAAGAATGAGATGTCTCCTCCCTCGTCTTTCGCCTCAGGCTCAGTTTTTGCCCTGTAATAAAGTGGCAACTGCACCGCCCAACCTTGATGTAACTGCATAGGCGGCACTTTTTCACGCTGATACCCTGGAAAGTGAAAATATTAACAATAAAATTAAATTATATATTAAGAGTGGTTTTCTTGGGAAAATTGTGGCCAAACCAGTAGCACAGTTACCTCGCTTACTAAAATTACTTGAAAACAAGACTGCTTTATGCATTAAAGACACTTCATGTTGTTATTTAACGAAACCACCTACTACGTGTCAGCATAAAGGCCATATATTTCAATTCGTTTATGCTTAAACAATTTCTGGGACAACTCCTTTGGCTGAGAGAGGGTTCTTCAAGCGTCGATTCCCCTCGCTTCACAACTGTCACATTTCAACTATTTTATGTGTGTGCTGTGCGGGGTGGGGGTGGCATTTCCGGGGCTGCCGCCTTAGGGTTGCCTGCTCGGGCTCAAGTTTTTGGCAGCGCTTAAGAACTTAACACACAATGCCAAAATGTGCAAGCAACAGCAACAGCAACAGCGATGGGCGGTGGTAACTTGCCACGCCCCCTGGCACAGCACACGCAAAAGTTTGCAGTAGAAGGAGGGGGGTTACTCAACCCTCCCTTCACCCTCCCTTCATTCAGCCACACCTCCCCCCTACCCCTCCCAGCAAAGTGACAAAGCTGGCAACGTCGTGTGTTGTAGGAAATGAGCCAAATTATGGCAAATT